AAAAACGAATCATGAATGACTCGGCATTTCGAGTGTCCCCGTATAACAAATAGGTTGGGGAAGGCACCCAGTAACGACTCGCAAGAACGACGCAAATGAAAACGCGAATGTCCCTACCCAACGCCTCGCCAACCCCCAAATTATTTCCAGACCATTTTTTAACCCTTCCCCATCCCACCACTCCTTAATTTCCACAGTAGCCCAGAATGGCAAAGACGCTCTCTCTCTCGGGAGCTTACATTTATTTTGGGATGGCAGAGGAAAGATATTTTTTTATCTTTGGCTCTCCAGGGATAAAAAATATCTTAATAGTACCTCTCGCTGAAATACTCTATCATAGATTTGAGATATTTCTTAGTCTTCTTTCTTATTCTAATTTTTCTTAGATTTTTAATAGTCTTTCTAAGACGTATTGCGGATGCGACGCGCATAACAATTACATAATCCTCTTCGCCATTCGGTGGCAGCATTTGTGTTGACCAGGTATTTACGTTAAGGACATTTATATATCGCTTTAAATATCGACATTGCGGCTGCTTTCATTCAATTGATAGAACGCGACAATGTTCCAGAAAAGATCATTCGACTCATAAAGACATTTTATCAGCATACTCGGGCACTATGCATATGGGGAATTGAACACTCTTTCAAATTAAGGACTGGTGTATATTAAGGTTGCGCTTTCCCCTATTTAACTATGTGATAGACTGGATAATGAACATCGCTTGTTGCACTCAACAGCTGTCCAATCCAGTCCAAAGCATCGTATCACAGATCTTGAATACGCTGATAATGCAATCCCTTTTGCTGACAATTATGACGCAATGCAAATAATCTAAATAACGTGTCAGCAGCGAGAATCGGATTATGGGTTAATGAAACGAAAGTCTTTTCGTGTTATGTGCAAGAAGCTGATAAAATGTCTCTTTTTATAAAATGTCTCTTTTTCATTGCCTGTTGAGGAATTGCCCGATTTTAAATACCTTGGGTCCACTCCAATGCCAAATGGCTAAGCAAAAGACGATATTATAAACCTAGATCACGGCAGCTAGAAATGTGTTCTTCTGATTGACAAAATCTTTATGGAGCCGTCGTGAAATCACCATAAAAATGAAAGTCCGCATCTATATAGCCGTGATTCGTCCGATCTTGCTATATGGCTTTGAGATATAGAGCCAGTGAGAGTGGAGGATATTAAGAAGTTATCTGCATTTGACCACTCTTATCTAAAGTACATTTTAGGGGTTTGTCGAGCGGATAAAATCGCTCATGATTGCATCCATCTTCATTCAAATACCACTTGCATTAATAATGTTATCATAGAGCGTCGCCTTTGCTGGTTTGGGCATGTTATCCGTTGTCCACCACAGGAGTTGACACATATTTCGTTATTTGCTAAACCCTGTGATGTGTGCTGTCAAAAGTGAGGTGGGCCAATGAAAACCTGGATTGATACGTCAGGAAAGATGTTATAGGTGGACCAGCGATATATGGACTCAAGCAATGGAAAAAGGAATGGCTTCTATTACTGTCGACGATGACCGCGCCACTTGGAAGCTAGCGGAGTCAGCCTAACCAGTAATGATGAGAGCTGTTAGAAGAAGAATTATTATTTGTTATTTTAACTGCTATATTACCCCATTATAACTATTGATGTTTTTATTATCTTATTGCTTCCTCCTTTTCCATTTATTTCACTCGTGAAACAACTTCGCTCATATATGAACGAGCCGGTAAAGCAAAAAGATTGCCAGATTAGTACTCTCGAGAATTCTCACCGAGCTTTCATAAAAAAGGAATATGGTGTGGCGGTGTACTGGGCGTTTAAACTGCTCAGTACTTATATTTTTTTGCATGTTCAATCATTACTATTAAAGGTTTAATTATCTAAGTTTGAGGCGCATAACAAACAATACCTTTTTTAATGGAAAAGAAACAAAACAAGCGCTTTATTTTTACACTTTTTCATCACTTATTTATACTAAATTTTTAGTGATATTTAGTGAAATAATAATTGCAGCGATAATTCCATTAAGATAAACCTATCAGATTCATTGTTTTAGCACTCAATTATGTTTTATTAATTTATGAGTGTGTAAACATTTTTGATCGCTTTTCATTTCTTTATTTCACTTATTAGCAAACAAACATTATTATTATTATTATTAACATTATTCCTGATAGATTATAAAAACTTTTATAATAGATTAAAGCCTCTGAAAAGTGATTGCTTTGTTTGATTGCTTTGTTTATATTATGCGTTCTTATATTTATATTCCAATCTTTTTAGGCTCCATGGAAGAAAAGAAAAGTTATATTTTGCTGGAAAATTTTGACTGGAATTCACATCCACTAGATCATAAGAGCCATCATAGAGATATTTGAGTCACTTTAATCCATTCTTGTTTATCATTAGACTCGTTCTGTGATAATATAGAGGTTAGAATTTCATAATTTATACCTCCCTTGATCCAAGATTCTATAAAGTATGGCTTTTCTACGTTTAATATTTCATTTTTTACATAATATCTTGCAATAAATGAAGGAAAAAATAGATTTAGCACGCAACACTACAATCATTTGCAAATCGGCCGCAAGAAAATTTTGCTAACCCCCCTATATAAAAAAATAACATATTTTGGTATGTTAACAAAGGAGTACTTATTGCTCAAGTTTGCAGTTCACTTGATAAAACCTCGCTGAACCAAAATATGATAAAAATTAAAATGTTAAATGGAGCACTGGAATGGAGATCGAAAAATTACTTTTTAGGAAACTTTCAGATTTTTTTCGACCAAAGTCATCTCATCAGTCCCTCTTTATCCATAAAATATTCAGTGAGGATTTTCCAATGATATATCAGTTATCCGCCATAATCTATGTTTTAAAAATTCCATGCTTATGATTACAATTTCTCAGTGCATATATATTTGTAATATATTCTATTTGGATAAAGATATCATAATCATAACTCAATAATGCTCATTGTAGTAACTAATCGGAATGTTTCAAATCCAAATTCTCTGTGGCTGCTTGATGATATCCATCTTTCAACGATTAGTAATTAAATTATGAAGAGCGAAATCAAGCGAAACCTCAATCATGATGCATGAATTATTTCTTTTGCCAAGTCCCATAGATTTAATGAACTGGAATAAATTTTAATTTCGCTAAAATATGTGCGAAAATACGTAAAATTTAAACATTTAGGGAACATTGCGAAACGGCAATACTAGAACGAGTTTATTGTAATTTGCTCGTATATTTTTTCAATTTTTATTTATTTTATGCTTATTAAATGTATCCAATTCACTAAAGGCTTTAAACAGACCGTCATGGCACCGCGCATTCTAGCACACCTTTCTTAAAACTATTGAAACGCCTCTCCTAAATTGTTTTCTTTTATTAACAGTTCGACCAATTTGTATTTGCCAAGCTTAAACTTGAATAAAAATGGAAAATATTTTTGGCTTTACAACGCCGAAATTCGAAGAAGTTGCAAAAGTTTTCAGGTAAAATATATTTTTTCTGCAACTGTGTTGAATGATCATTTGAACTTTTTTTCGTCGAAATTTTTTTTATAAGCAAATATGGCGAGTAAGTGCCGAATTTATCACTTTAAATGAAATTATCATTTGCTGCTCGCTTCACTGGGAAAAATTTTCGCCAGCATTTAATGATAGAAATACTAGTGGATGCCTAGCATTACCCTGGATTTTTTTGATGAAAGATTTAGTTCTTTCGGAAGCAGAATGTTCAAGGCAATAATCCAAACAACACTCGACTTTCCTACCATTTTCACTTTTAAATAAAATATGAATTTGTTAAAAGGCATTTTGATAACTATAGAATTAGTAGATGTGAAATGTGAAATAGACGCAAAACCCGTTAAAAGAACAAGGCTCATATAAAAAATAGACTCTTGTCGGCAAACGATTGAGAAACGAACCAAAAAGCCCATTAATTTTTTAAGGTTATTATATAAAATAAAAAACCTGAATGAATATTAGCAAAAGTGCTAAAGGCATTAATCTTTCTAAAATACTAAAAATTCAGGTTTTTTCAAGTTTTCGAAATGTTTAATTAAGATTGATTTTATATTCAAAGTTTTTTACAAAATTTTCAAAGAATTTTGCTAAAAAAATTTTTTAAAGACCAGTCAATCAATCAGCATTTTCAATAAATTTTTCTCTGTCTACTTAAGATTATTACTGTTGTAAACATTAAATATAGTCTTTCGCAAAATAGTAAATAAAAGAAAGATTTAGCCTTGAAACCCAAATTGACTGGCACTTTATAATTACAAAATAATGCAATTTCCATATTTCAAATGGAATCCACCCCAAACAAGCCGCATGGTTGCAAAAATTATTCAAGAGTTGTGGATAAAGAGGTTTCCATTTGCATGGTGGAATTAAACACCAATTCAGTATTTCTTTTCTATTTGTTGATGGTTTCAGCTTAAATTTTCTTGTTTTTTTCGCTCTTCATTCTTATCCTTATTGTTACAGGTGAGATTTGATGAAACAAATGTTTTGGCTATTTGATTAGGACATATATTAATTAATTCATTATTAATCAAAATCAGTATAATGGACGAGCTATTAAGAAAGGTTAATATATATCTTGAAGACTAAAGAAGTGGTTATTAGCATAATGGTCTGCTTCCGACAAGAATAAAGAACATCTATCATCAAAAAACCTGAATAATACTGGCGACCCACCTGTACTAACTCTAACTCTCTGGTAAAAATTTTTTCTAACAGCCACAGCTAACAGCCAGCGGAATGATAAGCGTTTACTTATTTATTTTAATATTATTTTATTAACTGCAAGTATATATATTTTTATCAAATAAAAAATTCATTTTTTTTGGTACTTCATTTAAAAGGAATCAATATTAAAAAATTGAAAAGAAGGACCATAAAAGAAAAGCCGCCAAAAATACTTGTGTTAAACCAGTTAGAGTAACGAATTCATTCATTTTTTAGGTTCTCTAAATGGTGTAATTTTTCAATTGTGGAATTTTGTTTGGCTGAAATGGGCTGAGCTAGATTAAAGTTTTTTAGGATTAAAATATTATTTAGAAACTAGAAGATAAAATACTTCTGAAAAAAAATATTTTCAGAAAAAATTTTAAAAATAGATGGGAAGTGCAAGGAGCAGCCATAGCAGTTTACCACAAGGATGAACTGGTCGTGGATTTACAAGGAGGGTATGCTGATGCTAGTTCACTGCGAAAGTGGGCAGATAATACACGGACAATAGTATTTTCTACATCAAAGGTTCTTGATTTATTGTACCAAATAATTTTTTTGATAATAAAAAAATGAATGGAAATTCTTTTCTCCTTCTTTTAAAGTTCTCTTTTTGCAGGCGATTGGTGCTTTATGTATTGCTTTACTTGTGGACAAAGGACTAGTAAAATATTCGGATTTGGTCAGCAAATATTGGCCTGAATTTGCGCAAAATGGCAAGGAAAGTATTACCATCGACTGGATAATGAGCCATCGTGTGAGTAATAAGAGTCTTAAAATAATGGCAATAAAACTGCAGTCAAATTTTACTATAAATGAAATTATCTCCATTATGACGACACTTCATGGTTTATCTTTTATGAATCATTTATGAATTAATTTGATTTAGGCCTTTTATTTAAATAACAAGAAGAAATCTTTTAGGAAAAACTGGCAGATTTTTTCAGAAATATATAGTAGGGAAAATATTTTTCTATGCCAAAGCCACGAATTTAGGCTGCTCTTGCTGCATTCGACGAAAAAATTACACAAGAGGATGCTTGCAATTACGAACGAATGGCTGATATTATTGCGAAACAACAACCCAATTGGACGCCAGGTAGATTTGTTTAGTAAAAAGGCGACAGATCTAGATAATTCGTGTAGTTGAAATCTTTCTACCTCTTTAAAATAATCTTTGCTTTATCAGAAAAAGATGAATCGTTTAGGAAAAAAATGTGGTTATCATGCGTTGACTTTCGGTTGGCTCGTTGATCAATTAATACGGCGAATTGATCCGAAACATCGAAGTGTTGCGCGATTTTTTAGAGAAGAAATCGCTATTCCATTCGGTAGCATTTTAAATTTTCCATCTAATTTATTAATGTTGAAATAAAATTTGAAAATATTATGAAAAGTTTTGCGAATATTTGTAGAAATCTCGTTAATAACCATTCTTTTACTATAAAAGCTATTTTTAAAGCAATTTCACTTTTCAAATAATCTAATCACCTATCCAGCACCACGGTCTACGGATAATTACTAATAATTTAAGCGAAAATATTGCATTTCAGAAACGAAACGGTATTTGCTGTTACCTTCGTCATCTTCTTTCTCTAGCATCGCCCAATATTTTTTATTTTTTTAACCCATTGATACCTATTGACTGCTAATGTAAGATTTTTTATAGCAGAAAATTGCTTACAGAAAGAATTATGGACTGGTTTCCAATACTAGCCTGATAAAATTTTTAAATTAAATTTATAAATTAATGACAAATTCTTCCCGGAGGCAAATTTTGTTCCCACTCTCGGTTGAGCTCATATACCACTGTTAGACTTTTTAACTACGATTGTACGATTGCATCAAGTATTGCCACATGAAATGAGGTGCTTGTGTCTTCTTTGGGTATTCTCAGATTTTCTCCTTTTGTTCCATTTTTTCTGTTTAAGAATTAATCTTTGAAAAAAAGTTTCACAAAATATTAAAGTTATTGAAGATTTAAGTTCTCCCATATTTCCACAGTTTAGATTTTTCGCATATTTTTGCACAGATGCTTCAGATATCGATTTTTTCATTGGCCTGCCACCAGAAGAAGAACACACAGTTTCAAGAATATCGGTAGCACCATGCTGGTATACGATTCGAGAAATGATTTATGATCCAAGGATTTTAATCTTATTTACAGTTTTGTTTTTAGGATTGCCAGGTTCGCTAATGCGGAAAATGTGGAATAATTGCAAATGGTTCAAAATTTCTAAGGTACTACCATATAATTCAACCTAAAATGGAAAAGCGGTAAATGATAAAAAATTGAAAAGCCTATTTTGTGAAATTCGAATCGAAGAAAAAATTAACGAATGATTCCATTAGTGCTTGAGAAAGATGACTTGTTTTATTTTTTTCACTCCAATTTTTCTTACAGGATTTGATGAAATCATTTATTCATGAATTCATTTAATCTTCAGAAAACTAACACAGTTAATGATCCCGAATTGCACAGAATGGAACAAATCGCTATCTTAGGTATCACTAAAGCAAAAGATCTTGCCAAAATGTTTATGCTTTTCGCACAAGGAAAACTAATTTCGAAAAAACTGCTTCAATCATTCGAGAAACCACAGATTTTTGGCACTCCGGACAAAGTTGTTTGGCTACCATTGGCTATAGGGCATGGATTTTCATATGAAAAACATCCATATGAGAAGGTAGAGTTTATAGTTGCTTTGAAACAACAACGATATTTCAAATTAGGCTTCATTTCATTTAAGTATGTCAAAATATAAAATGGTTACGTATCTATTACTGATGTTTACATATTTAAAAACATCTTTCACCAATTTTCATTTGATGGAGCGAAAAGTCTCGTTCTAGGGAAGATGGCTCTTTGGACATCCTGGTTATGGTGGCAGTACAGTGATGGTGGATTTGCAAAACGAACTTGTGGTTGCATATGTGACAAACGGTCTAAAAACAGGAATGGGTGAACTAACAAGGACCTATAGACTACTAAGAAACGCAGCCCTCCGTTCGGTACGATAAAAACATTTTAAACTTATTTTCATCGGTTATTTGTAGTAATTATATGTATTTTTGTAGAAATAAAGCAATGCGATTAGAATTTGTAGTCTATAGACAAGAAATTGAATTAAAAGCACTAGAAGAATGGTGTGCTGTGAAATGTACTTTTCGCAAAATGTTTCTTTTTCTCATAATGCAACGTTAGCATTTTATGAAGGTAAAGTATGGATGGCAAGAGATTCTATCAGTTTAGATTTTATCAACAATTACTTACAGAATTTGACGAAATTATTATTTAACAATTACTTTACTTTGGCTTATCTTCTTTTCTTCGAAATTTTTATTTATTTTTGAAATTTTTATCAAATACAAACGAAATTTTAAAAAGAATAAAATGTTAACGAATAAATTAATTATTCGAGAAAATTGGAATTTTCATATAAACGAATTGGTAAATAAATAAATATTATATATACAAATATATAAAGAAAATTGTCACGCGTTCATTTTATAAAAATTTACGCAATTTTCTCTTAATTCTCATTTAAAAGATTAAATTAGAACAGGAAAAATGCATCAATTACGAACTCTAATCAACTATTTGAACTAAAGAGAAAATAATTTAAGCAACCGTAGAAATAAGGAATAAAATTAAAATTTTAGAGTAGGAAATAAACGATAAAAAATAATATGCAGAAGACTTGAAAGCTGCGATAAGTTATTTTAATTTACTTTTAAGATTATGAAGATAAAAGGTTCATTTTAGATGGCAATTTATTCCAGCAATTAGAATAGTGAAAAAATAAAATTATATGACAAATTTATTCAATTTTATAAATGACTGAGCACTTTTTATCCATTTCCTTTGATTAAGATTGAATCAAAATAGTTGGCTAACTCACCGTCTGAAATACCAAATACATAGGGTATAATGCCATCTGTCCAACGTAATAATCATAATAATTATTAGAAACTGTGTCATTGAAGCTAAATAATCTGATGTCTTATTTTATAATAAAAGTCAGATTTTTCTTAAATCCTTCTTAAATTCTATTTTTAAGGTTATAAATTTGTTTCAACAAATTCATGAATTCAAATTTATTTTTCTAAAATTTTTTTTAAAAATAGAAATTAAAAATAGAAATAGAAATAGAAATAATAGAAATTTTTTTTTAGTGTTATTTGGCGAAACTAATTAATTATAATTAATTTATAGAAATAAAATAAAAAAGAAATAGAAATAAAAAAATATATAGAAATAAACCTTAAAAATAGAATTTAAGAAGGATTTAAAATTAACTACAATATTTTGAAAATATAAGAAGATAAAAAGATATTTTTGATAAAGAAAATGAAATAAATAAGAATTTGAAAGGCATCGGTGATATATGAAGTAGAAATGAAGAAATTTATTAAATTCATTAAACATCGTAATATTTTTGGAACTTAAATGTTTCACAGACAACAACAAAATAAAAAATTTTAACAAGCAAATGGAATGAGCAGCATTTTTATTTGCAAATCAAAGCTAAAATGGGCTTATGAAGTGGAATCGCTGTAAGCACCTTCAGTTGTCCACTTTATGTAAGGAAATAAACGTATAAGTGATTGTCACACTCTATATTTCCGGTCAGATTCGCTCTATTCATTGGTCCACCATTATTATTTTTTATCATTGCTTTCGCAGCATATCTTCTCTCCTTCTTCTGACAGCGCTATCTCTATTTGACTACTCTTCCACTCATTAGAATAAGACGTCGATCTTTTCCAGAGAGTGATTTGGAAGTACGAGTGTAAGTGAATACTCAGCTTTAATCAGACTTCGTTTTTATTCTTTATTTATTTAGTAAAAAGAGCAAATGATGCATACCGCTAAGCGCTGGTGTCATAATAAATATAAACATAAAAGAAATGGAAAAAGTGAAACAAAATTCACATGAAAAGAAGATAATAGCGAGGCTTATGCTCATCCTTTAATCTAGAAGAGTAATAAATAAATAGCTTTGATGATAATAATAAATTATTTCCTCTCTGATAATAAGGATTTAAAAACTAAACTGAAATTATACGGTTAACATATCATAAATGGTGCTAAATAAATATTATGAACAGTTTTTAAAATTGATGCACATATTGCATGCAAGTAAATTATTTCGACTCTCGCATAAAAAAAGGTATAACGTCTCAACTTCAGTAAGTCCTATCTATAATAGGCTTCGATAATTTTAATCTATCAATTTTAATCAGCTATAATTTGACTTGAAAGTAATAAAATTCATTGCGACCTAAACTAAGATAGCCACAGAGGATTCTATGCGTCTAAAGTCTTGAATAATTAATAGAAGAACCTGAAATTAATTATCCTTGCAAGCTCAATTAATTTCAATGGCCTTTAATCTAGAAGAATAATAAGAATAATAATAAACTAAGCTAAATTCTAAATTCCACTATTGACTGAATAAATATTTTAAAAGCCTTAATAAAAAATTTCTCGTTTCTATTTCTAAATGGTATATGAAAGAGATTTACTCCGTTAAGGATAAGAAATCGAAACTACAACGGCTTAAATTCAACCGAAGCAACCAATTTGCCCAACTTCTATCAGAAATTTAAGTCCCAAGTCAAAACTATCGTCATATTCTTATTAAATAGCTTCATAATAATAATAAATTATTTCCTCTCTTCATAATAAATTAAAATTAATGATTATTTGCTTATTTAATATATATTTATTATAAAATTGGTTTTAATTATATAATTAAAACAATTATAAATAAAATAAATTTGTCGATTTATGAAAAAATACATTTTATCAATGTTTTTTTGGAAAAAATTAATACGATTTTCAGAAAAATTATTTTAAATAAACGGTAAATGCAATAATTACAGTTACAATTTACCGTTATGATCAAAATAATTTTACAGTTATAATAACTTTAATTTTTCAATAATCAGCCAGAAAAACAAAGAAATTTGAATAAAAATATAAAAAGAAGTATTTAGAAAAAATTTATTGTTGGGGCATCATGCCAGAAGGCTTGCTTTAATCAACAGATTGGTCAACTTTTAGGCTTTTTTCTATTCTTTTTAAAGAACTATCGAGATTACAGACAATCAACAAAATCCTGGGATTAAAGATGAAAAACTTGTTGATTTTGCGGATGAACAGATTTATATAAAAGTGATGCAGTGGCATGAAGATTTATCTTGAGCAAGAGCTTAAAAAGTTGAAATTCTCCCCCGATGAAAGTATCGTTAGTCTACTTGAATATAATGCTGATTACATGAAAACCGTTCAAAGAAAATCTTCGATGTATTTGTGGTTACATCCTGCTTACCGCAGTTTTCGCGAACTCCAGATTTCTGATAAATAATATGCTGCGAGTCTAGATATGGAAGATTGGGGGTTCTGCGGGGTATTATCTATTCCTAATAATACGCTCTTCTGGATAAAGGTCTTTTATGTTGTTCCTGGAATCTGTTGAAGTTATTTTTCTAGTTATTTTCATATTTTTTAGGAGTCATAGTTCCAGGTGCTCTAATTATCCAGGTGTGTGATTATTTTAACCTATAATTCCACATCCTCTCTAGTTGTTTCAGCTTTTCTTATTTCTCTAACTTCTCATATTCTTTCTTTCTGACGTAACTTGCTATATAAATCACGAGTTTTGATTTCTGATTCTTGTCTGCTACCACAGTATCTGGTTAAATGGCCGATACTTGTTTGTATTTCTGGATTGAGAAGTCCCATAAGACTTTCGCCTTATTCTTATTATCCTTATTATACTATTTTCTGAGGAATTTCCCATTTAGTTTTGGGAGAGTCTAAGCCATATATCAAGGTTTTCCTATAGATGATGCCAGTTACTTAGTTGTCTCTGGTGTATGTTGTTTCTATTCTGTTTGCATTTTGCATCCTGCCACTATATGTTGGACTGTTTCGAGAACATTTTTGCACAGTCTGCATCTAAAGTCCTATCTAGTATGGTATATCCTTGTTTCGATTGATCTGATGCTTAATGCCCATTCCTATGCTATTATAAATGCCTCAGTATTGCCTTTTAGTCCAGCTTTCTTCGACTACTGGAAGCATTTCAAAGTGTCAACTCTCAGTTATCTATCGATGTTGCTTTGGCAGAGCATTTCCTCTTAATCGTTTTCCTCTGTTTATGTATATTTTAGACAGTCTCTCAGCAATTCATCCTTTTATCTGCTGATATATTTCTAAATGCTTCGAGTTTTCGTTTAAGATAGTGGCCTTCACAATCACCAAACCTCACCATTCTTTCCGACTGGTATGCAGTCTTTGGATGTTGGGCTTGGTATGGAAATTTCCGTACATTATGAGGAGTTCTCCAGGTTTTACATCAATTTCCATGTCTTCCTTTGTCCATCTTAGAGCACCAGCTGCGTACCTGATGGATGGCAAGGCGTATATATTTGTGACATAGATCTTCCACTGAGCTCTTCAAGATTTGTCTTGTCCTTTGGTGATACACTTAGGTTATCTTTCTTGTCTCTTCTTCGTGGTTATTATGTGACTGTGGGATACCAAGGTAGTTAGCCCATATGTTCGCTATATGTCCTGACTGCAGGTCAACTCTATTAATCATTACTACTTTTCCTCTCTTTACTACCATCCGGCCACATTTCTCTAATCGTAATAACGCAACATCTTCGCTGTAGATCCAAGCTAGATAGACGAGCGAGTCAATATCTCATTTGCTTTTTTGCATATAACTTCATCCATATATTCGGCATTTGATAGCTACTTATGTAAGCTGTTTCGAGTTGATTGCTAGTGTTATTTTCCATAATCCCATTGAATTCTCATTAAACGCTTTTAGGGTCCCGTTGACTTTATATAAAGCCAGACATTCACAGACCCATGTAGGGCATTGAGTCATAGGTTTTTCTGTAGTCACTCTAAGTTGAATACAGATTGGTCTGCTGGGATGATTTTGAGTCTAGAATGCCTTATCTATGACTAGCTGGTATTTGGAGCCTGTGGTGTTCTTTCTAGTGCCTTTTACTCGTGTTAACCAGTCGAGGTGAAAGCCTACCACAAGCAGTTCTATTATTGCACGAATTTGAGAATACATCTTGCACGTTCCTTGGAGCATTTATTTTTTAGCCTCTTTTTCTCTAGTATACTTCCTTAGTCTAGTGGCCATTGTTGTGAGCCTTTATTTAACAATCCCGAGGTCTTCTAATGGGATATATTTTCTCAGCATACTGTTTTTTTCTTTCTGTAATTTTGTTAGCTGGATAACTTCTATGCATTATGCTCTGATTTTATTTTCCAGCCTCCTTTTCCATTGGCGAATTGTTATTCTTCTTAGTTAATGTATCTCAGCATTTTGAGAATGTGTAGTTTTTTTTCCATCCAAAGTGCCTTAATATACGTTTCATATAATCCCTTTGCTTAGATCTACTATTATAGTAGCAATGCTTCCATCAGTTCCAGATTATCTTATCTCCTCCATACAAAGTTTACCTCTTTCAACGCCAGATTGCCCTGGTTCCACAACAGTTGGCGGTATTCCAGTAGTCCACTTGTCATCAGATAACCCTGGTCCCTTAATGTCTGTCGCGGACCTTGCTAATCCAAGCGATGACATACTCTAGTATGCGGCATTCTCCTGTTGAGCTGGAGTAGATAAGCATTAAGGTAGAATCCCATTGGAAAGAATAATATATACATTAATTTTAAGATAATACATAATTTTTGATTTACTCAGTAGATAATCGATAATCTTCATCTTCCTTTATTTTTGTTACAAATATCAATAATTTAGCAAGCCGAAGCGCACGCTCTTTCATTACGATCGGAACATATTCGTGTTGCCGAAGAAGAAAGGAGAAAGACTTTAGTTGAAGAAACCAAACATGCAAGAGTGGTATCGATATTTTTTTGATTTTAAGATGGTTCTTTCATGTCAACTGCTAGCTCATTCTTTCATTGCCAAATTGAGCTATGAAAACTTGTCACCAATGAGTGATTTGCGTTTTCAAATTTAGTGTTTAACTATCTCTCTCCGTATTTTTATTTGCATTTGATCTCGTCCATTTAATCGCTGAAATTGAAATCGCTGTTTTAGAGAGCTGATTATCAAGATCAGTTGGCCCGAAAAAGGCAAGAAGAGGAATTGTCAATGAAAGCTAGGATGCAAGAAGAAAGTCTGAGAAAACAAGAGGAAAGTGTGAAGAAACAAGAAGCAGTTCGGAGAGGTTCAAATAAACTTTTATAACGTTTCTTTACAACATTTGATGAATGAATTGAAAGCAGTTTTAGTACATAAGCCAAAGAAAAAAATTAGATTATCGTTTTAGATTTATTCATCATTTTCATTTTTTTCTCTTGGATTTTTTACATTATTTTTTTTAATAATAATAATATTATTTGCCTTATTTTGTTAAATGAATAAAAATAAATAAGAATTATTCTTCTGATACCACTCGCCATTGTTAATTTTGCTTTTATTTATTACTTGGATATGCCAGTGAATAACCTGAGAATAGAAATGCTGTTGGAACTGTAGATTTATGATAGTAAGTTTGTTGTCAAGGGATAGGAAGCGAATTTATCACTGATCCCTGTTATAATTGTCTTTATAGTCCAAATATTTCTAGACATTCTCAATATTTATATAGAGATAAATATATTGATTGCACCATTAAATTTTGGTTATTCGCACCAATTTTCGCAGACAAGTTCCGTTAGTATCTTACTATATTGTCTATCAACTTTTTGGTATACTTCAGTTAATAAATTCTCGTGAATTTATGAAATCGAATTGATGTAATTGATATAATCTGTTCTTAATTAGTTGGTCTGAAGGTCTGAAATAAGGACAGGTAAACCATTAAATATTTAGCCCATCGATTAATTCAAAATCGGATCATTACTTCAGTTTTATTTCAGCAACCATCGAACATGAATTAGCCGTGAGACATAAATATGATCTTGAAAAAATAGAAGCTGAAATCCACGCACGAGCTAAAGCAGATCGAGAAAATCGCGATATCAATCTTGAGCATATGCGAGCAAGTGAAGCAGAGCATAGAAAAACTGCGATTGAAAAAATTAAGTTAGTTTTCAAATATCAGTTGAAATATCTATTAAATCTATTTAAAAAATTAAATTAGTTTAATCATTAAAATAATATATTTTTTCATTGTTTTAACAAATTTCATCATTATTGGTTAGTCTAGTTCCGCTGGTTACAAGCTACTATCAGCGATCTGATACCATTGCTGATAGTAATTGAAACCATTTCTTTTTCCATCGTCTAAGCCCATATATTGATGGTCCACCCATATGTTCAAAATCTTTCTTGACTCTGTCAGTCCAGGTCTTGATTGGCTTTCCTCGCTTTTGACGCCAACCATCACAGAGTTTAGCAAATAATGAAATATGTATGTGTCAATTCTTGTGGTGGGCATCGAAGAACCAGAGAAGCGACGCTTTGTGATGGTAATGTTAAAGCAGGCGATATCTAAACAAAGGTGTGATATTCTATCCACTCGGTGAGCCCCTAAAATGCATCTTAGAATGGTCAAAGTTATGCAATTTAATATCCTCTATTTTTATCGACCATGTCTCGCGGTCATATAGCAAAATCGAGTGAATTGCTGGTAAATAGACGCGGACTTTCGTTTTTCACCAATTAAAGAAACGCATTTCTAGCTATCGTTATCCGGGCCATCTTTCGCTTGGTCATTAAAGTGGATCCAAGATATTCAAAGTCTGGCACTTCCTCAACCGTCGATGAATTGATAAAAATAAAAATAGGTATCAGCTTCTTGTATATGTGACGAAAAGACTTTCATTTTATTTACATTAATCCTGAGTCTGATTCTTAGTGCAGTTGTCGACAGTTTGTTTATCATTATTTATATTTCATTATTTCATAATTGTTAGCAAAAAAAAAAACAATATCTTCAGTGTAATCAAGGTCTGTAGCAATATGCTCTGGACTGATTTGTATACCTCTTGAGTATCGACGTCCATTATCCATAGTTATTAGTTTATCGCATAGTTGAATATTTTTGGGGAAAGGACAGCCTTGTCGGATACCAGTTCTTGCCTCCTATACAGATCTATTCTGGTGAATGCTGAAAGTGCCTTTATGATTTCTGGAGCATCGTCACATTCCATTATTCAATTTTCACCATTCCATTACAATCCAGAGCGCTGCTCTATCAGATGAATCAAAAGCTACAGCTTCAAAATTTATGAAACAATTGAATGGTGGGAAATGGTGGGTGGCCGATAATTGAAGCAATATTCCAACATCCTTCTTAACACATAAATATCTGGTCAGTACAACCGCACCTCTTCCTGAGTCCAACTTGATTACGGCGCATCCTGCTGTCTTGTACTGGCGTAAGTTCTACTGAGTAAAAGGAAAGGAAAGAAAAATTTTCGCTGAGACGTCTAGTAATATAATTTTGACAGTATATCCTATTATCTTGTTTAGGAATTGCGAGAAAAATTGTTTTACACCAGTTATCTGATATTATTTTTTCCTTCTATACCAGTACTTTTGAAGGTGCGTTATGAAGGACGATGGACAACATTTGTTCAACTCGAAAACATCTTCTCCCAGAGTCTTATTGTCCTTAAGCTTATGGATAGCGGAGAATATTTATTCTTCTATTGGAGGCTCGCAATTGCAAGTGTTTGACGAACGTATCAGCTTTGCCCAGGTCAATGGCGCATCATGATTAAGATTAAGACTGTTAAGATTAAGTTTGGCCTCAAAGAATTCCTTCCATATTATAAGACGATCCTTAATAAAAATCACCTTTTCCTTAATATTTTTAACAGGCATTGCCTTACCATTTCGCTAATTGTTCCTCGAGTTACAGTTGTTTTATGAAGGCGGAATAGTTTCCTATTTCCTGTTATCGCCTAATCGAGCCGCCATCTCCATTTTCAAGATCATTCCAATAGTGATTTCGGTCCCGTCGTGCTGCTTTCGTTGAAAATCTTCGAAGCATCCGGTAGTAAGCATTACCTAACATTCATGCTTTGGCAGCTTTTTCAGATAGTTGGAAAATTGCTTCCGACACCCAAGAGCGCATTTCCTACTAGTATGCCCTAGTGGCTGACTTTCGGAGATATTCCTTAAGTTTGGACTAGTATTCATTTGCCATTCCAGAAAAGTCATTCATATTCATACCAGTGAGGTGCTTCATGCACTATAGTTTAAAGAATATTTTGATTTAATATTCCAGAACAAGTGGAGCGATAATTGGTGCTGGTATGGAGCAATTCCTCAACGATCGTATTAAATTACTTTCGGCTGTGAGTTTCCATTTTTATTCTTGTTTTGCTGCCAGTTTTATTTTCATTTTTTTTTCATTAGAACCATAATTTAGATTGAACGATTAAGAAAAATATTTGCACAATTTTTTAGATACTTACCATTATATATTTTGTTAAATTATTGATTGAATTAAACTAATTCGGCTAAATTTTATTTTTTGGATACTGTGCCAAAAAAAGGAAAGTTCTACCAATGAGAAAAGGTTCCATTTGCCTGTTTAACGATGAAATATGAAACGCAAAAAACAATCATTAGCAATCACTGATAGCGATCAGTCATTTAACTTATTCTGTTGATTTTTTGTATTAGATCAAGCCAAGGATTTCCATCTGAGGTAAAAATTCTTAAATCAAAAGAAGAAATCGCGGACACTATTCGATTTCTTACTGACTCGTGGACCTTTTAAGTAATGAGTTCTTCGAGATCAAGCAAAAGGGAAAAGAAGTATGGGATTGTGGCAGTTCTCGAGAATCTATGGAAGAAAACATTGAACTGATTGACAGATAGTTTGCTGAAAAATTGCTAATCTGCGAATATGAAAATCTAATGTCGTAAGAAAGTACAAGATATGCCAAGAAGGGAGCCATTCAGTTCGCATGTATTGAAGATTCTTAGAAAATAAATATTTTGTTTCATTATTACACCCATTCTTCCATTCCTTAAGGAGATTTGTTAAGAAAGGAACTCACGGAACAGCAGTTGGAGTTAAATGGGGAGGGGGGAGGTGGGGAGCTACGAAAGCAGCGCACGTAATAAGCACAAATCGGTTTTAAAAAAAATGATGGAGGATTTAAAAATTGATGAACATTGCGTGGCTGCGATAAGGGCGTCATAACAATAGATCGATATCTAATTGTCAGACTCCCTGAACATAGGAATTTATACCAAGCAAAGACGCCCGGAACGGGTTAATTTATTAAATTCTTTCCACATCTGTTTATAACTAAGCTTATTTTTGGCTGTGAATCGGATGTTTTTGCTAAGCGATTCTGTTAATGACATTCAGCTAAAGTTCTCGGAGTTTTGATATCATATCATAAGGAAAGACAAACTCTATCCGATGCATATCTAGAGGTTTGTGTTTCTTCTTGATGTGTTAGTAATAATAATTCGTAATTGCTCTTCTGATAAGTTCGACTATTACGATTTGCATCGCAACCAAAAACATTTCCCTTATTAGTACGTATCTTCTCATTAGTGCTGTAGTTTTATCTCTGATTTTACTACGTAATTTAAATCTTGTCTGCGTTATTGTTGATGACCTTAACCTGCCTAATGTTGATTGGGTGGATGAATGTATTGTATTTAAAAATTAAATGTATTTAAAAAGAACAGATTTGCCAAGGATTTCTGTTCCTCTTCCTACAGATCGATGTGTTAATGCTCCTACTGGATTCTTTAATATCCTAGATGTCATATTAATTCTCTTATTGATTTCCTCTCTGCATTGGAATTTCTCCCGTTACTTATTATACTCCTTGAATTTTGGCTCAAAGCCATCCGTTACCTGCTTTATGTTTCAGAGATTTCCGCAATTTTAATTACGACTTATCTATGAACTATCAACGGGAATCAACGGGAATTTCTTTTTTCTTCCTTGGAGTCTATGACCAAAAATTAGGCGCATTGAATAATACTTTGTTAGCACTAATCAAACAATTCATAATTCAGTCTTTTTAAAACCTTTGAAAAGAAAGCTAAAAATTTCTCATACTGACCTCAACGATCTTTCCTCATAACTAATTTTAGTAAAGCAGGTAAAGCAGTTTACGCATATTTTTGGACAAAAAAGGATAAAGCAAGGTATAAAAAAAGGAATTAAACTCTGGCAATATTACATCGGAGTTGTATCAAAAATGGATTTTCTACTCCAAAAGCGACCTAATTTAAAAATCACTGAGGGTATGGACATTACAAATGCGTTTACTATTTCCGTTTTTTGGTTGATAATGCTCCCATTTGTACGGGCATGGCTTACCAGTCTAATGCTCTTTCACTTTCGACAAATTGATTTTTCATTGTTAGATCTTTACGTGACAGTCGTCCTTATGCAATGAGGCCAATCGCATTCCCAAATTCTCTATGAAAAGTGTGCAATATCTCTAGCTTTAAGGCGGCATTTGATTTTCAAAGATATATTAAATTCTGGATTTGATCCCGGAATTTGGAAATTTCATATGTAATTTTCGTCTTTAAAGAAGGAAGCCCCATTTTTTTAAGTGTAAATAGGACTTAAGAGAGATTAATTTGTTATAGTCCATACAATTGTCCCGATTCATACAATTTTTTATCTCAACATGGTTTCTTCAGGTGAAAGTCCACAACTTCCCAGCTCTTAGCTAATCCCCATGACTGGTTATTGTCCATTGAACATGACCAAACAGTCTCATTTGTGGAAAGTTTGTTTAGGTCAGTTTTACATGGTTACCGTCTTAAATTTGGCATAAATTTGGGTAAGTTTCTTAATTGAGTACCAGATTATCTAAGTGGCTAACCCTCTATACTTTATCTTATTTTATTGCTATAAAGTCTGGTTTTTAAAACTGGTTGTGTAGGTTCTTTCTGAATTCAAATATTTATTATGCAAAATATCTATAAAATATCAGATATCTATAAAATCCTTATCTGACTTCAGGAAAGGCATTAAATTGTCGATAGACATAAAATTTTGTATCAATTCCAAGTTATTTCTATTGATACTTCTGTACTGACCGGTTCAAATTTTTCAAATTTTGATCTATTAGCGAGAAATACAACTTCTTCGCTCTATTAAGTTATTAAAAAAACGTAGGATTTTGAATTTTAGAATTTAATTATGCTTCAAAAATTTTTTAATTAAATTGTATACAAGTATATTCGTTCGCGTACATTTGGAATATGTCACTTACCTAGATTTAAGTTAGTCGAGGGTCTATAAAAGTACTTTCTATTATGTTTGAATTCTAGCATCTCTTCTACTTGCAAATCCAAAGTCATCTAATTTAAGGATTCAAGAAGGATTGGAAGAATTGAACGAGGTCTGACTATTTACTATTTACAAAGTTGTTTTCGGCCTATCAACCTAGTTCGATTTGTGGGACCAATTTGTAGGACCAATTTGTTTCGCCTCATAATTTTTTCGAAAATTTAACTGGAACAAATTACCACACGTTCTTATTCTTGCCTTATGCCTCCCATTTTAATAGAAATCTCGACAAGATCTTCTACAATGTATTATTTTAAAAAAATTGCAGCTTTTATCCAAAATTAATCCATTTTTTATTTTTTATTTTTATTTTTTTTTTTTAACTTCTCATTATTTTGTTCTATTCATTTTATATTTTTCTCTTCTGCTCTGACTTCATTTGTTGTCACCAGCTATTGAATCCAATTAATAATGGAAATATATTTGCCATGATTTTTTTCTAATTAAATTCATAATCACCATTTTATCATTTGTAGGTGGGTGGTTTGACAGCAGTTGCACTTGGATGGTATATGGCGAAGCGTGGAACGTTAGTAGCTGCACGGTATGTTGAAGCAAAGTTGGGAAAACCGAGTTTAGTACGGGAAACATCGCGTTTGACTCCACTGGAACTTATTAAGCATCCGGTTCGCAGCAGAACAAAGTTGTTCAAAAAGGAAGAGGATCCACTTAAGGGTATAATATTAAGTGTAAGTTTTCAAATCATTTCGAAAATGACATATATAAACCTTCTTTTATTTATTTTTTTAGCCAGGCTTAGAGTCACAACTTCGTGATTTGGCAATTAAAACAAAAAATACCAAGCGCAATAATGGTTTTTTTCAAAATGTTCTTTTTTATGGACCACCTGGTGCTGGCAAAACACTTTTTGCAAAGGTAAATTTGCTTCGAATTGCTTGTAATTTTTTTTCTATTTCTGGTGATAACGTAAATTTATAAATTAAATTATATTTTGAATTATATATATTTAAATTATATATTTAAATATAATAATTATATATTTAATAATTTATTTGTATTTACATATTTATATATATGTATATTTAAATTATATATTTAATTATATGTTAAATTATATTTTGTAAATTTAATTATGAAAGAAATAAAAAGGATCGTAGAATTTCCATTATATTTCGGTTCTTTAAAAAAATTTTTCTATGCATTATTTTAGAGTCTTGCTCATCATTCAAGTTTGGATTATGCGATACTCACTGGGGGTGATGTTGCACCTATGGGTCGTGATGGTGTTTCAGCTATGCACAAAGTATTTGATTGGGCAGAAAGTTCTCGTAAAGGGTTAATTATTATGCCAACAATCATAATTTATTGTACAGTTCATTTTTTTAACTTCTTACTTTACCTACTCTTTACGGTCTGTAAAGTTATCTTTTATGAATTAAAAAAGTTAATTTGCCACATAATGAATCAATTCTTCGCTTGTATTCTCTACTAATTCTAATATAATTCTCTACTAATATATTAAGATATATTTGGTAAATTTTAGATTATTATTATTCATTGATGAAGCTGATGCTTTTCTTCGTAAACGTGCGAAAGCACAGATCAGCGAAGATTTGCGAGCAACTTTAAATGCTTTTTTGTATAGAACGGGCGAACAGTCCAGAAAGTAAATTTTGCATTTTCTATTTCTTTTTTTTTTCATTTTGAAAGCTTTCTTAATTAAGTAAAACGATTTGAAAGGAAAGTCTGAAAAGATATTACAAAATATCGGATTATCTGAACAGCCTGCATCTGATATGCCATTATGGGCAAATGGAAAACCAAAATGAAGATAAGAAATCGGATTATTATTAGTTTTTAATTTTATTTATTGATTTCGAACGTTATAAACATGACATGAATTTGCATTAAAAAGTGCAGAATAAAAAGAAAAATTAAAAAAAATACTGGAATGGCAAAAATTTAAGAATAAATTCCTGATTCATTGGCAGAAGATATAATAAGATCATCTTATGAAACAAAATAGCAGTGGTTAGGATAGATAATGGTAAAAAGATGAAGTTTGCAGAGAAAGTGAAAAAATAGGCAAATAATTTATAGAAAAATTCATTTAAATTTAGACATATTTTAATATTAGGATAAGAATTGAACAAACTAATTATACTCCAGGTATGGCCGAACAAAGGTCTTATTCATGTTAATGAAAAAAAGTTGCGGACTTATTTGTAAGAGGAAATTTTGATTTAAAATTTTAGATGATTTTTTGATTATAATTCTCATCAAAAACAAGGTTATTATCAATGATTAAGTCAAGATCTGAGGTTTTACTAAAAGAATTTTCACCATTAAATATATCAGATGATTTAAATTAACATTTTACGAAGAATTTTACATTTTTTTTTGCTCGTTTTTTAAAGATTTATGTTAATTATTGCTTCGAACCAGCCGGAGGATTTCGATTGGGCTATTAATGATCGTTTGGATCAAGTTATTGAATTCACTCTTCCTGGTTAATTTTTTGTCAATATATTAATATTGTTGTTGAAAATTAGGAAAGGATTCCATTCGATGGATATATGGTTAACTTATTTGTCTGGCATATTTCTTGTTTTATACCCTTTTTAATTTCTTAGTTCTAATGGTAATTGATTAGTTTTCCATTGATTCATTTCCACTATTTAAATATTTTCAATTTTTTAACTTAATTATGCAAAATTGCTTGTAAATTTCATGCAATATTTTTTTCTAGTTCCTTATTAATAGAATATATTCAACTTTCTTTAGGAATGATAGAACGAGAGCGAATTTTATTGCAATATTTTTCTGAATTTATTGCTATACCGGCAACATCTGGCTCCAAAAAGCAACGACTGAAGTTGGTAGATTTTGACTGGGTTAAGAAATGTGCTGAAATTGCCAAAAAAACAGAAGGGTTGAGCGGCAGAGAACTATCAAAATTAGTTCTTGGATGGCAAGTCAATAATTTTGATAATTTTAAAATTTTAATAATAATTTTGTGTGATATTCTTTATGCTATTATGTTTTATTTTATGAGTTTTACAGGTTTTTATGTTTTTTTTTTTAATCCATCAAATACTTTATGCTATTAAATTAATTTCTTCAATTATATTTTTAATTAAGGCATCTGCTTATGCAACTGTTGATGGTCTTTTAACCTCAGAAATCATCGATTACAATACTGCAAAAATGATGGAACAACATAGTCGTAAAATGGCTTGGTTAGACAAAGAGCAACTCGATGTTCGCGAAAGAGCAGTGGAAGTAATTTAACTTAAATCTCTCAAATTTTGATATATCTTCGTTCTTTTTCTTTGATTTATTTATCGTACAATTCTGGATTATTCTGACTGAAAAAAGTCATAATTTCTGTAATTCTAAAAAATTGTAATTCTGAAAATGTTGATTATATATTTTTCAGTGTTTTAAACGCATATTTTTGCAGAAATCGGCTACAAATTGATTTTTTGAAATTGAAAACTTGATTATTCAGATCATCTCGCTGAAGTGGTTCTTTTAATTATTTGCTATTTATCAAATTGCAATTTATCAGGTCGATTTTTAATAGTTTTAATCATTGCTTTTGTTCGTTGTAAGATTTTGGAAAATAGACCTATGTTGGTCGGTACCATTTTTACATTGCTGTTTTTATTTTGATGTATTAATATTGACAGACAAATCCAGTATCGAAAAAAAGAATTTGATTTCTTCATGAAGTAAATAAATCCATCTTAGATTTTTAAATATTTTAGTTGTTTTTATTTTCTTTGTTTATTAATTACTTATTTGTTGATCTGTTTATTGTTGTTGAGGATTTTAAGGAATTTATTTTGTTAAAATTTTCAATTTTAAAAAGAATTTTAAAGAATTTCATTAAAATTTCTGTTTGAATTTGTCAATTTTTATAATTCAACAGGGTGGTAATTGAGAAATTTTTTTCTTTTGTCTTAAAGAGAAGTAGGAAAATATGTATTTTTATTTATTTATTTACTGAAAACCAACCAAGCAGACGACAAGCGCCATATGCTTATATTAATAACAAAAGTTAAGAAAACAAATAATAAAAAAAAGAAAATATGACAAAAGTTAATAAAGTAAGGAGGAAATAAAGAGGAAATAGTACAAAATATACTCTCGAAGCGAATATATTACTGAGCATGATCAAATGGTAAAAATGGTAAAAATCAAGATAAAACTTCCTGATATAACTTGAAATAATATCATAAATGGTATTATCTAATTCTTTTTTTAAAAATAGACACACAAATTATATCGTTTGATAATTTATTCTGGTAGTTAATAGTGCGAACTGTGAGGGAATCCAGGTCATGTTGTTGGTGTGGTGTTTTATAATTAAAATTGTGATTAAAATTTTTTGATCGTCAGGATAATGTGCTATCTTTTGTTCATTTTGGTTTACAGTTTGTTTTTATGAAGTTCATTTAATGCAAATGAATATATGACTGAATATTCCTCGTCAATAGGGAAACATTTTTTTGGCAAATTTTTCGAAGTTTTTAAGGTTGTGGTGTAAAGGAATTATTTTTAACTGGTCGGTGCAATTAAATTTTTAAAAGCAGAGGGGGAATGCGGATAGAAAAGAAACTGATTTAAGAAATCAACGAGTAATGTAGCTGATAACGATGAAAATTGTAATTGTAGACAGCGAAGCAAAGAATCGTTTGAAATAATGCAATTTTCTGTAAAGTTTGCTCAAGCTTTAGCAAGTAGAGCTAAAGAGGACTCTAATTTTCGCAGATAAATCTTTGTTATCCAATCATTCGAAGTTCGATAAACAAGGCGATTATTATCGCTGTATTGGCAAAAATATTTTGAGTTTCATTGCTAAAGGAGATATTTTACAGTGGTGATGATGTCTTTAAGAACCAACTGGCACGGCATATCTATTTTTAATAAACGGCATTTGTGCCACGAAAGGCGATAGTACGACGCCATCAAACAGAAACTACTGGATTATGTTAATTATAAATTATTAATATAAATAGAGCAATATAAGAACCGTGATTATAGCAACTATTTGAGTAACAATATCCATAGAACAGAAGGTTTAAAAATCTAAAAAATCCATAATGTGATGGAATTTTCAAATTCCGTGGATGATTCGAGCGAGGATTGGATAAACCGAGCAGCAGTAGTGATTATTGTGATAGTGTTTATAGTGGATCGAGCCAATAATAATTTGGCGTATTTGATATCGAATGTGGTAAAAAAATTTCATTGAAAAAAGCAAAATATCGAATGGGCTTGAAATTTTTACTTTTCTTTTTGCATTTTCAGAATTTCTGTGAATTTGTAAATTTGATAATTTTAGATTGCGAACTTTTGTAAAGAAAGATTTTTGTGTTGTCAAAGCCTTTTATATTCGTAGCAAATTTTGCAAAAAAAAAGTTATTTTTTAAAATTAATGCAAAACTTTCAATTCGATTTGAATCGCATCAAGAACTTTGATTGGTTTGTGGAATTAAATGAAATGATCTGTTAGTTGGTGCATAAACTGTTCGTTTTCTAGCATCCATCACTGCTTGTTGGATTCATGGATTAGTGAAACCTAAAGTGAGAAGGACTCGTCAAATTTTTAAATGACAGATCGATTCTTAGCAGCCATTCAGATGATTGCTACATGAAATATTTGCTATAAATTATACGAGGCTTTGATAATCCTTCAAAACTTCACATCATGTGTTTTAGAGGAGATATTATTAACAGATGCGAATTATAATTATGTTATTCCCAGAAATTATTTTCTTGCGTTAGAAGAGAAAACTAAAACAAAGAATAACGGAAGAAGAAAGACGAATGACAGCGGCGACGACGAAGTGCAATGTGGCACAACCAGGCATGGACAATGGTCACTATGCGATTGGCGTTGGCACTCATTTGCTCGTTATTCTTCAGTTTCCTATCCTATTCTTCAAGTTATAATGCCAATAAATAATGGTTATGAACTAATGGAAGAATATCGTTAAGAAAATTTAACCAAAAATATTAATCATTTAGTTCAGTTATTACACCACTGTGCACCAAAGTTTCAGCAATGCGAATGTAATTTTTTTTCGCTTTCACCATTCAGACCAGCAGACTTTTTCTCTAAATGCTTGCTCATTTTTCGGATTCAAAAAAATCCCAATTTAATTCATTCTTAAACAATAGTGTCATTTCCTTGGTTGGTACTGACTTTGGTCCATAAAAGGTCTGAAGCAAACATGCTTTTGTTCGGAAATTTTTCATATACCGATTTTTCCCTTTTTCTATTTATTTTAAATTCCGCAATTTCTTAATTATTTTATAATATAAAAATTGAAATATTTATCATAACATTATAAATTTGATTTTAACAATTCAGAAAAATGAACTCATTATCGAACGTCAGCTCGTCATCGAATTGCTGTTCTTGTAATTTCTTTTTCCAACCTCAGATATCGTTTCTTGCATGGCTGACTGACTTTTAGACTATCTAGATGATTTTTTCGCCAGAGGCACTTGGGGGATAAAGGATCCTAGAAATAAACCTAAAATTTACGCTTTGTTTAAGAGAATTGCAATATCCGATTTCCATATATAGGAAGATCTAATAATTTTGAATTTGACCAACTATATAACTCCAACAATTTCTAACAATTTTGAGCAATTTTCAGCAGATAAGTCTAGAAGACGCAAATATTGAGACGAAAGGCTTTGTGTGCCGATCTTTTAAGGCATTACGCTAATAAGTTTAACATGTAAATTGCTCACAGCGCTAAACATTTTGTAGGATCGCATTTCTTTTGAAGAACGCTCCTCGCTATTTCTGGTCTTTTGCTTTGCTCGTTTGCAGGGCCAGACAGTTTTTGCCAGAGAGCGGTACACTATGGTACCTTAGGTGCATTTAATACATTATTAATTCTATCTCCAAAATTCAAGCAGTTTCAACCGTTCAACAGTTGAAAAATCTTAAATTTATTGAGAATTCATGGAAATTGAAATTCTTTGAATTTTTTAATTTATAAATCACGCGAACATCATTCCAGTTCCATTAATATATTTATTTTATTATTATATTTATTTTTATATTTCTATTTTTTAATGTAGTAATTCGGGTTCACCAATCTTTGTTCCCTTGTAATATAGCGCAATTAGTGCCAAGAAATTTTTAGCATACAGCGCGCCAGAATTTTATTACATTTAAAGACGAAATTTTTATTTATAATAATTTTAATCAGATTTTAAATGGTTATTGCAAAAATTATTTTACATCTCATCTCCTTTTCATTATTGTTTGCATTATTCTTGGCTGCATTTCAAAAAATAATGCAACACTTCTTTTAATGATAAGTTCACTCTCGTTTAAGAACAATAATTCAATCCGTTCAGTTCCAACAATTTGCTTGCCTACTGAAAGGAGGACAGGATGGCCGAATGAATAACAATTATATCATTGTTGAGAAGTAAAAGTTTGGACCTCTGATTACATTACAAAATCCGAGTAGTGCTAACGAAATATCTACCTCCAAGTGACTAGCTCTAATCGCGCTTATAGTCAACGAAGCCTAACCAGAAATGGTGAGCCTTACTAAATGGCTAACCTCTCACTGATTTGTTTATTGAGGCGATTCCTCTAGTTATTTATTCTCATTCTCATTGTTTGGGAAATAACAATGAAAATTGTCTGAAATAGAAAAGCAAAAGTTTTCAGGTTCATCTCACTACAACGTCTCTGTATTTCAGGAGTGAAGTGTGACTTGCGCAAGCTATAGCAATGTTGTTAGGATCATTTGAAAACATTAATATCGATAATTCTTTGGCACAGTTTATTGAACCCTGAATTAAAAAGAAAGCATTATCAAAATTAGTCCTAGTAGGTTGTCACACAATGGTATGAATGACCACTGAAATAACAGCATTGTGGCATTTAGTAAATACGTCAAAATTAATCAGCAAATTGGTCATTATGTGTGAAATAACTGTTTACTATTATATTAATATTTAATTAATAAGAAAAAACATCCATAAAAAAAATGCCACTGAAAATAATTGAAGGAAATTGAGAATGATTTATTTCTAACGTCAAATATCGCCAATTTCGGAGGCCTCAATTCAGTTTTAATTCTATTCAATTCTAAAATTTAAACTTATCAATGTATGAAGGATCATATCTAAAAAAATTTTTGACAAGTAACAATCTATATAGAAATGAATTAATAAGTTATAATAAAATTGAGTTCCAGAAAATTTGAAGCTATTGATTGAAATATGAATGGTACATATTGTAGACTGCTTTATTAAAAAATTTGTTGTATGATACTTTATAAAAATAGTTTTCAAAACATCGAGTCAAAGCTAAAGGCTATTAGCTGGTACCAGAAACACCAAACACACAAAAATACATTCAGAAGAAACACGAAACCAAATGTGAAGTAAGGCTTTGTTTGTAGTATAATTTAGAGAAGTGTCGAAAATCTTTGCATCACTGTATCATTTTCAAAATCACTCAAAATTAAAAGAATAGGAGAAAATGAGAGGAAGAAAAATATTGGCATTTTCTTAGCTGTCGAACATCTAAATTCTATAAACGTTAATATCACTGAATGTTCGAATGCAATCGAAAGATAAGTTATCAAGAATGATGAAAGTGATCATAAAAGTGATGCAAACTGTTAAAGGAAGATTATTAGAAAGATTATTCTGTGGTAATAAAATTTGCAATAAGAGAATAACAATAAGAGAACTTGCAATTTTTTAATTTTTATTTTGCGGCTATTAAGCATTAATGCCCATTGTTCATGAATTTTTTTTTGTGATACACAGTCTTTTGAAAACAAATGTGCACATTTTGGTTTAGGTCATTGGACCATTCCAAAAGCCGCCGAGTTGAGAAGGCATAAAAAGAAAAAAAAACCCCTTGGAAGATTTATTGAAAGAGCTATTGAAATATATCAATATATTTATATTCATAAATCTTATGTTTCGTAGAATTTAGGTGTTATAATATTTCATGACATTACAAATTATTATGGTCCAAGGATTCACTTCTGATTTTTCTCGAATAGTTGACATAAAACTGAATTTAAAAGTTTTAATTTTAACTTAACCACCATAAGTTACCTCTTGACTCAGCGCGGACAAGGGGGTCATAGCAAAAAAAGCATTAAAAATTAGAGATAGAGTCGTAATATGAAATAAAATTTATTTCCACTTAACGTCAAATATTGCCGATTTTAAAGATCTCAACAATTTTAAAAGTTTAACTTATCATCTCTTATCTTTAAGCTACTATTAATTCTTCTATGCTTTAATACCTATATGTTTGCATATTTCATATTGTACCTCCATTTGAAAATTATAGTAAAAGATCACCACAATGCCAAATAAAGTGTAAAATATAAAATTAAAAAGGAATTTTCGAGTTTTTTTTTTCAAATGGAGGTTTTAAATTAAAAAGGATGAAGATTAGGTCATTTGGCAATAAAACTGAATAAATGTTTAGTGCTTATCATTTCCGCTGGTTGTTAGAACAGTTTCAGCTAGGAAATCACTCGATAGAAACACAGGACCATTACCAGAGCCACTAGGATTATTTAATGTTAAATAGAGCCTTACTTCTCAACAAAATAATCTAGACTACTTTCAGACGACCCGGCCTAATAAACAAAATTAATTTAAATATATAGAATGGCAGATGAGATTACTTTGGATTAATTCGAGAGTTTTATTAAAGTACGAAGAATTTCTCGGCAATAGTAAATTTCAACATCATTTTTCATCCAGTTTGCTTGAGTAATTGCTACAAAATAAAGTACTAATTCTCAGAAAATACTATTTTTGTACTTTTTTACATCTGGCAATAATTTAAATTTTGGCATATTATTTGAAAAATTTGAAGTAAATTCTAAAAAAAGCAGTATGATTCACTGAGAATCATTGAGAAAATTTTCAGAGATCTAAATTTTTTAAAATCCAAATAATACGACTCGAATTCTAAATCCTAAATGCGAAATTGTCAAGAAGACCAGTTTTTCCAAATCTTTTTCGATTTCACACACTTCTTTTAGGATTGAAAAAATGGCTTTAATGAATTTAATGCTTCCATATTAGAAACTTTAATTTATTAATTTGTTCTCATTTAATAATTACTAAACGCTTTCGAAAATACTAAAACTCTTACTTAGTGCCAGATACGCGATGAAGAGTTCCTCGAATCTTATTGACGTTACTGCCCCTTAAAGATCAATAGAAGGATGTTACGACAAGTTTCTCTGCATGTCACTTCATGGCACCCCATAGCAGCTGCACATTCGTTAAATTAATAAAAATCTCAATATCATCAGCTTGTTACAAAGTGCAAATATACAAGAGATAAAAAAAAAATCAATCACAGCAGTGGATCTCAAATAGTTTAAATTACAATCAGTTATGTTGTTTTATGTTGATGAAAAATATTTAAGATATTAGCCGAGAAAATTTATCAAAATGTTGCCAATTCGCATTAATTTATTATTTTTCTTCTTTTAAAAACATGCGTCATTGCTCCATGGGATGAGAGAATTTGTCCTCAGGGAGTCATTTGGAGATAGAGATACAGTTGCACTCTCAGTAGCCACTTGGATTTCATGTTTGAGAATTCTTTCCAGTGCACTATTTGCTGTATTTTTATTTGCCTAGCTTTTTTAAAACATTTGCTGATACAAATTTGTCGCGAAATTGATTGCAAGCAAAGCAATTAAAAAAATAGGTTCGTTGAAATCCTTTGCTCAAATTGCATCGATACTCTTTCATCAATTTGCCACCAAATGGTAATTATTTATCAAATTAGGCAAATTAAGAATATGAATTTAATCTATTTTATACTATTAGAGGAGTAATAGTGGAATATGATGGTTGAGATTGTCCTATGGAGAGGCAAGGGTAAAGACCTGTCATTAAAAAATCCGAGTAATGCTGTCACCCCATTCTCCCTATTAAATTTATATTTGAATCCCACAAGAACTAATGGGCTAAAACATATGGTAAAACTAAACTAAGGACTCATGACTTCTTTATTCGTACTATTAATTATTATTAATTACTAGAATAAATTAACGAACGATGTAGCTTGTGCGTCATCCTTAGCTATCTTTGAAAAAATATTAGATAATATTATTTAGGATATTATTTAAAAAACTCCCATATGCAAGAAGTCTTGATTTTTCCATCCGATTATATATAATAAACTATAATAAACTATATCCTATAATATAACATATTATTTTGTAATTTCCTCTTTAGATTTTTGATTATTTTCTCTTTTTTTTTATCATTAATTATTATTATTTTTTATTTTAACTCTTGTTATTAATACAAGCACATGGCATTTGTCGCTTGCTTGGCTGGTTTTCAATAAATAAATCCCCCTATTACCAAATGATTACTTTGGTAACTAAAATTAAAATAAAATTTAAATTTAAATTTAATAACTAAAATTTTATCTGGCGGGCCAGATTAAACTCTAATTAGAAATAAGATGCCATTTACTCACCTATGAATAGAAAATAAAAAATTTCACTAAAATAGAAACGTATGTATTCACAATTACCATAAATATCAAAGTCTCTAAAATGTCATAAAATAAAAATGGAAAATAAGCGGGAGGAAATTTTTCCGAAATGTTCAGTATTTGAAATTATATCCTAGAAAAATGTTTAAAAAAATGTTTCGCTAACCGGAATTTGAAGAAGATAGCAACCTTTTTATTTTTTTTTTTTATTCATGCAATTAACCAGATCAATCCCAAATAAACTAGTATCATACGCAGACTTAAGAGAATTAAGTTCAGCTAGAATATCCTACGGCCTTATTCTAACTTTCTGTAAGTATCAATATTAGAAAGTACAGCTGAATCATCGTAATATTTTGTCTTAATATATATATCTTTCCCACATGATATCTAAATTTTGTAGGATTTTAAACGGCTTTATTCTCAAAATACCTTAGTAATAAAAATCTATTCATTAATGACTGTAGTATTTTATAAGACCGCACTTCTTTTAAATCACTAAAAAAATTCCATCCAAAGTTATTAGTCTATGTTTTATATGTTATGTGTTTTCCCTGCTGAGTGTATGTTGTTGATGGAACTTTTTTCGACCGAGAACAATCAATTTGTATTCAAATCCTATCTTTTGACAGAGGCAAGAAAAATGACCATAGAATGAAGAATCTTGCAGAAATAATTGTTGATCAAATGAAGCAATATTTTTGGTTTTTCAATGAGTAAGTTGGATAAAATTTAAAATAAGGTAGAAAAAAACGAATTGATTCTGGCAAGAATTCCTTGTTTGAAAACTCGTCTTCTCATACTTCTCGGACGTTAGGAAATCAAAAGGTATTGGAACAATCTCAGCAATATGACGAGGATAAGATAATATACGAGGATGTATAACTCTATGAACTATGGACTCGTGACAATAAGAGTTGCGCCCACAGATTTTTTTTTGGCTTTATTATTACTTTTTATGTGGAAATCAAAATTCATGTCGATCACACTTTTATATAGTAATGGAAGCTTATTTATTGCTAAAAACTGTGTGAAGTCTGAAGATATCAACAAGTTTATCCGCATTCTTAGATTTTTTTTGCTATTTGACCTTTCTTTTTAAAAATTTTATGGATTTAAATAAATGGATTTATTGCGATTTATGAAAGGTCTAATAATTTATTGTTATTTATGTTTGAAATTCATCCCTTTAGATTCTTTGTGGAATACTCATTTATCAAACATATTATCAAACATATTGCGAGTTTATTAATTCTTATAAAAAATATTATAAGTCTTGGGGCAATTGTTATTTTTGTGGTGTCAAGGGAAGGCACAAGCATATTTTTAAAGTCAAATATTGGAAGGGGGTCTATTATGAAAGAAATGGGAAATTGAGGTGAAATACTAGAAAAGGGGGACATAGTGCCAGCCAGATGATAGCTCCCGTACACTGACCCATGTCGATGCACCAATTCTATTTGCGCCTCCCCATTCGTGCTAGGTACTGGCATTGATTCCTCTAATCAGCCTTGCAATCCCGCACACTGTAATATTTCAACGATTTCTAACTATGATTCTCCATTGTTCAAACAGCATATCGATACTCTGTCGGACAACCCTTTTCGTAAAAATCCCTTATGCAACAGCTATTTGGTGATAGTTTTGGTGCCGACAAGAGAACGACGAGAGAACGGCCCAAGTGCAAAAGATTGCTTGACGATCATTTGGTTGGTCAGTAATCGGATGGCCCAGCCGTTACTTTACAATCGCCATTTACCAAAGACGATTCGTCGAAAACGCTTGGAGGTTCGTTTTATTCTTACTGCCATCAAACATTACGTTTGTAACCATAACTATTTAAATTTAAAATTTTAGATTCTATTTATTTTCTTGTTATGTACCATATATTAGCCCGAATAGAATATTATACTTATACTGCATTTTACATCATTTATGAATTTATTTTGGTATTTTTGCTGTTTATTTTGTGAGAATTATCTCGTGCTAGATAATATAGAACGGGAATAATTTTCGCTAAAATATTTTGCAAGTCTTACAATGATTATTGTCTAAAATATATTAAATTAAACATAAATTTTTTAAGCTTTATTATTTATTTATCATTTATTAAACATCTTTAAGCATTATTATTTCATCTCTGAGGAAATTCGCATAAAATTTAAAACAAATTCTTTATATCCATTGAATATCGAAGGTTCTATTTGGCACCCAATCAAAATTTAATGATTCTCCACCTTTTAGCATCATTACTTCTGGTTGAATTGATTCCACTAATTATTAGGATCTTTTAGATCAATCTTTCATCAGAGAGCCACTTAAAGAATGAAGTATAAGTGAATGCTCAGCAATCATTTTAATTTTCGATCTGTATTAATTTTTAAGCACGAATTGTGGCAAAACTAATATTATTGAATCGTAAAAGTTTTTATGATAAACTCACAATGAAAATAAATTAACATAATTTGATATTTATGGCGTGTTGTTCAAGCGTTCAAGTATTTTTCCGTTGAAAATTTCCCATATTTTTTTAATTCGAAAGTATCATGCACGAATTCCATATTTTCCGTACATTTTTGTAATAAAAAATTTTTGATTAGGCTCTCTCCACTGGTTGTTAACATTGCCAGAAATTAATTTAAATTCAGAACAGGCTTGAATTTCAAACCATGCGGATTTTTTATTAACAGGTTTGTTCCTATCATAGGCAGAGTGAATCTTGGTGTTTGAGGCGATGAGGGGAATCTGAACAACAATCACTCGGTTATTTTGCTCCAGATGTAATGTTACAATGATAGTAAAAATCGTCAATTTCGCAGATCAATTTTTATATCACCTAATAAAATTGAATGACTGATATTAATTGGACCTGAATATAAAGTCTTTAGTACATATATTATTTTAGCTGTAATATCTTTTCAAAAAATGTAAGAATTTCGCTCAATAAGGAATTTTATGATTTTAGAAGAAACTTACCGGAAAACTATTTATTTTTATAGCAGTACATTCGCCGAATAAAGCGCCTCGTCGTCGATCGAATTCCTCATAACGAATTGAAAGGAAAGTTAAGTACCACCGAAGCTTTAGCCAAGGCCATAGAAATTGTTAGTTGCCTATTTTTTATTTGCAATTTTTTAAACTGAAACGTTGAAAAAGGAGGCAGGTGCGATGATTGCGAAGCAGTTATATTTTTCAAAACAATCACCTAATTTTCTTCTAATCATTTTTATAATTTAAGTGATAAAAATAAGTAGACTTCATATTTCATTTTCCCAAGAAAAATTTTAATTTCAGTTGCAAAAAACACCAAAATATTTGTCGGAACCAACAAATTTGAGTCCTGCACATTCATGGTCAGATTCATCAAACGTTTATAAGCCTAGTACAGATGACGATAACTGGGCTTTACCGAACGATTTAAATGAAAGGTTTATCGCTTCTTTTCGGATATTACTGCCTGAAGGCAAGATTTTGGAGTCGTGTATCAATAATAACACTGGATTCACGCTCAAAGTAGGTCTTCATTTTTGATTTAACCATTTGTGCAAGTAAATATCAGAATTAACTCATACATTAACTAAAATTCAATAAGATATGGATGGATAACTGTCGAACTAGATCATCCCATTGAATTCAACCAGTGTTGCGGCTTCTATTTTCTCTTAATGTTTAGATTCAACCAAGAAACTTTTCTAGATGAATGATCCTAGTGCATCACCCATTCATCACTGAATTCAACTATCGTACGAACTCTTATTTTGGTGAATAACACATAATTATGTCAAAGAAATGGTCATATGAGATAATTTTATTAGATTAAAAGCATAAAGCATGAGAAAAGGGTTATTCGATAAAAAGATGCAATGAATCGGATCTAATTCCAGGAACTCGAAAATGGTGGATGCATTTTTGCTTTACTATCTGCGCAATGTAGACAAGCTTTATTGAACAATGTTTATATAGGAACCGACAAAAAGCGAATCTATGCTAGGATTCTTGGGTAATTATCAAAATTTACCAATTTCCGGATGTGAACACTTTTGGTAGTATATATCATATCTTATTATTAGCATTTATATAACGAAAATTTCATTTCATTTTATGGTTTCAAGCTAATGTCCTTCAATGCTTTTGCTTTTTAGAAAACGTTATAAATAAAAGAATAACGATTTAAAATCTTTTAAAGTTGGTTTTTCAGAAGTGAGAATTTAGCTTGTGAATTATTATGTGAGTTTCATCGAATGAAGTTAGGAACATCAATTACATGTCAAGTTTATATCCTAAAGCTTCAAAGTGCTTATTGTCCATTTAAAACAGTCTTGCCGCTAACATTTTTCACTGAACACTCGAGCAGATGTTGTTTAACTCATTTGGATTCCTCGTAAGTTATTTATCTTGTCTTGTTGATTTTCATCATATATTTTCCATTATTTTCCATTTCTCTTTCATTATTTTCAAAAATATTGAATTGTCGTTTGAACTAAATTTTTATAATCTTCTACATTTCTCATAGGGAACATTTTTCAATTAAGGAAATTTTAATATTGTTTCATATTTCGAGGGTAAAATTTTTTCCAAAATTTATATCAGAAAAATGTTTTTACTGCGTGCTAAAAAAAATTTCCTTTTATTTTTAACAATATTAAAATTGTTAACGAGTACAGCTTTTTGTAATTTTCTCTGGAAAATATTTTTCTTGAAAGATTATGAAAGATTTATAAAAGATTCATAAAAGATTTTTTCCTGGATTATTAGAGATTGATGGGATGAAAATATGTAAGAGCATCCACTATTTCTGGTTGGACTCGCTTCATTAATATAGAATCACTTGGATTACAAGGGAGATTCCTATATGAAATATATTCCAAGTGAGACTTCTGTATCGCCTCGATGTTTTAACTCTTATCAGGGGTGAACCATAAGACTTAAAATGATAATCTAGACGATAAGCCATACTGACCCTATGATAAAACTGGAAATTCATATATTTTTTAATAAGCGAAACTATAATAAACTATAATGCACTATAATGCACCATTTCTTGGATTTTTTATCCTATTATTCACTACATTTCATAAATTTATTTTTGGGTTTTTTCGGCATGTCGAATAATGACTATTTTATCGAATTATTATTTTTATCAAATAGCGATTATTTTGGCTCATCAGTGGAAATCTTGCCAAAAATTACTAAAAGAAAAAAAAATTTATTAAAAAATTACTAGAAAAAAAATTCAATGACTTTTGAATTTGACTTTTGAAATGACTATAAAAAATGACTTCTTTTTCAAATTTCAGTGTTGCCACATATCTTGGAATTTTACCTTGTGAAGTAATCAATAGGTCGATACTATTTTTACTGCATCCATATGATGTTTTCCACTTGAAAAATATTCACACTGATTGTAAGTTTTCCTTTCTCTTATTTATGAATGGAACATATTATATGAAACCTTTAATTGCGGCATTTTTTTTTCATTATATATTATAATTATTATCATGAAAATTTATTTATATTAAAAGCTGCAAAAGCGACATTTATTTCAGTAGTTAACTTCGCAGATAGCCCCATAAAAGGGCAACGTATGCGATGGATCGCAGCAAATGGTAGTATTGTAAATACAGAATCTGAATGGTATGCGCAATGGAATCCGTGGGCAAAAAAGCTAGAAAAAATAGTAGGTAGGCATACGATAAGTGAACAGCCTATTGGTGATGCAAATGTGTTTGCCGAGCCAAAAAATCAGTGCATTGTGAAGCCGATGAATGAAAATGCCATTGAAATTATCGCCTTGGAAATCGAAAACATCTCAAATAGTTACAGTAACGATAGCAATAATAATCTCAAGGTTTTTTCTTCGGAATTCGATTTTGAAAGATCAAAAGATTTTTAAAAATATACAAATCTTTTTATACAAATCTTTTATCTTTATTTGACCAGAAATGAAATTAACCAAAATCACTAATTGCAAAAATATTTATTTATATTTATGAAATATATTTTTTTCGATAATTCAAGCCATCAAGCAAAGAAATCATTTGAAAATTATCGAATGGAAATTTTGCACAATTTTTTTCATCTGCTGTTTAGCATTTATTTATCATTCTTTTGATATCTACTTATAGAAGATGGAAAATTTCGATACATTTATGCGATGTACGGTCCTTGACGCCTCTCAAAACTTTCGAGGAAATGTAACACCAAACCTTGGAACATATATCGACAATCTTGTTGAAACATTAGTCATTAATGCGAAATCACCAGCAAATAAGGTCAGTTACAACATATTTATAAATCTCCGAATTTGCTCTTCTAGAACCCTTCCCTTTATGGCCCATTATGGCCCATCCATAAATATTTATCGTATTATAGCTTGCGAATACAGAAGTAATATCACCTGTAGCAAGTCCAACTGACCTATCTTCGGCCAGTGGCTCAAACATTTTGCCTCTTTCATATAATCAGGTACACTTTCTCGATCTTATGAATGCGATGATGAAAGAAAACTTTGTGTTGTCCCATGAATTTAAATAACAAAAGAAATCGTCTAAGCGTTATGTGAATTAAAACTGATTAAAAAACTAAAAAAGTTCATTTTTCTATGAGAAAATCAGCAAACACCAAAGAACGGCTAAATTGCAATATTTTTGCGCGGTCTAAAAACAAAAATTTGGCGAAATTTCTTTCAAATGATCGATATTTTTTGCTGGAAAAAATTTGGCAGATGTTTCATTTCGATTTATTTGTAACTATAACAGAATTGGAATTAAAAATTTTTAATTTTTGTGTCATATTGATTGAAATTTTATTCAGCCACCGAACTATCCATTTCTTCTTCTTTTTGTCCATGGCACTCACCATTTTTGGCTAAACTCGCTCCACTGGCTATTAGGACGACTTTCGCTAGAGGTTCTCTTAGAGGTTGAAGAGTTACAAATAAACCACATCCTTCCTTCACCGAACAAATCCGTTCTGCCGAATCGCCCTTTTTTCTTTTTCTTTCATAGTTTTTTTGATTATTAAAGAAAAATTGCATCAGCTGTTGCGTTTCTTTCTAAAGTAGCAACATCACACTTTTTTCCCTATTAATCTATTAGTTACTCTTACTTTCTAATCGCTACCATAATTTTAGATCAATTGCCTTGAAAATGTTCATCGTTTATTAAAAAGTCAACAGCGAGCAGACGAATCATCAGAAACTGCATCAGGAGCGCTTCGCTCCTGTAAATTCGATGCAGAACCTAAAAGTCCAGTTCCTTTGCCTGAACTCGACGAATTTGCGAGGTAATCTATTTCTCGATAAGAATTACATCGATTCTAACGTATCGATCTAAGGTGCATGAAATAAAAATTTGAAGGAAATTTTCTGCTAAGATTGAAGTAATAAATGAACAATTTAAGAATGCCAGCAATAGAAAGTGAATACTCAATGCCACTCACAAGAGAGTTATTACAGCAACACACCAAAAAATGGGAACAAGAATATCGGAATACGTGGAAGAAACGGCTCAGCATGAAAAGAAAAGTTGGCTGAATTCACCTTGTTTCACATTTTTCGCAAAGTTCTGTTTGGCATGTTCAATCTCAATAATAAATAAATAAATTTTAAAATATAAATTTTTTTGTTAACAAATAATCACTTGATTTGGCCAAATAATCACTTGATTGGCTTTAGCTGATCCTTTCCATCTAAAACAAAAGTCGCCTGGTACTAGAGATTGGCTTATCACTCTATTCCCCATGACCTGACAAGAGCGTCTCATTTAGCAATTAAGCAGAAAAGATGTTAAAGTTGAAAATGATTTAGATATTTTATTGGCTATATTTTATCTATAGATGATAGATTTTCAAAAAAAGAATTTTAGGCATACTTTTACGATTTGATTACTGCTCAGGAAATTCTTTAGTCAACTTTTATCTCAAAATTTCTGAGGAATTGAAAAAATTAGAATAACTGAACATATGAACATATGAAAAGAAGCTATTTATGGCTGAAACTAGGGCTCTTTTTTGTTGGCTTTTACAGCATTTTATCAATATGAAATATCATGGTCCAATCCCTATCATATGAGTATATTTAGGCATTAAAATTCAATGCAACTGATTATAATTGATTTGCAAATTTTCTAGTATTTATTGTGTAACTTTCTAGAATGATTTGGTGGTGCCAGTATCATCAAAAATCTTTCGAGATAACAACTGTAAGCCATCAACAACTCAAAGCGCTCCTGCAAGTTACACATATGCTCGGCAAGATTATTGGACCTCGAATAGCAAAGATGAATATTATCGTCGACTTGGCCCAAATCCACCTCCTCCTCCCGGTCACAACTTCCAGGTGCAGTTTTTTTTGTAGTGAACCAAATAGGTGGCATTATTTTATATAATATAACTTCGAAAATTTTATGCTTATTGAACAATTTGTGAATCACAGTTTTAATTTGCACTGAAGTTGCAATTTTAAACATCTCATCATTTCATAATCATTTCACACGAACTTTTTCATATAATGAAATACTCATGTAAACTATAAAACTGAATGCACATCTTTCATATGTTTAATGCATATCTAATGATTTTTCAATTCAGATTACATCAATACCACTGCCACCAACCCTGCCTTTACCTGAACATCGGTCAGCTTTCCATTCTGTGCCACCGGTCATAAACCGCTGTAGATCTACAAAAGATCTCCCGCAACCAATCAACCTTTCGATTAATGGCCATTTTTCGATATCAAGAGCAGCTGATTTAGAATGTCGTCAGCAATCTGTTATTCGAAATATTTCACACCACATGCACACTGGGTCAATTATGGTACCATGTAAGAAACTACCACTTGATTACTTTGAGTGTTCCAATTTAGCAATGAATGATGATCATTGTTTGGGGCAATCAAATAGCTTGGTACAACCCAGAGAAAATTGTGCAGCGCGTCTGGTTAGCCTTGCACATCGTGTACGGCAACAACAACAACATAAGCACTGGCAACATCAACAGCAACTTCAGTTCAAAACAAACATACAACAATCAGAAGCTGAAAGATGTCTTACTTCACCTCTTTCAAGTTTATCTTCAGTTAAAGAAGCTACTGACGCCTTGATGCTTCTTCAGGATGCTTCTTCACAATAATTTTTCATTCGTTTTTCTTTGTATTTTTGATTGTAGCAATTTTTAACTTCTAAAGAGGATACCAGGGAGATATTGGTCCATGCAATGAGAACTGAAGTGAATCCCTAAACAATTTTTGATTTATTATTTCACTAATATTTCACTAATATTGACTAATATTTCACTGTGCCCTTCTCTAAAAATTTTTTTCATCTTTTAGGAAAGGCGAGAAAAAATGAGAAAAACATGGATGCAATTGTTTAAAAATCTTTCCTTCACTATGGAATTGTTGATTTTAATTGTCGGATTTATGCGAATGCACAAATTGTAGTCAAGCGTTATTTGCAGCTATGATAATAGGCTAATTTTATCGAGTTGGTTATATTTTTAAGATAGTTAAAAATCTTTTCTCACACCGCTAACATAATCGAGTTTCATTTAGTATTTTCACTAGATTTTGCTAAGATTTTGTTCTCATCATTTTTTTTGCATGGTTGAGATAAGTTGAATCCTCCATATATAGGGAAATTCGAAATAAAATCACAGTGGATTATTAGATACAAAGAATATCCGAAGTTTCAATGAACTATCAAACTACCAAAACCATATTTTTCTTGTATAATATTATTAATATATCAAAATGCAAATTCTCACACCGACGTCTTTCTTTGAAATCGGAAAGATTCCATTCGGTTCTTTCCAAATTTTTTATATTTTTTTATTTCCATGCTAATTTTTTCTATAAAATTAGTAAATTTTTTTTTGAGGTCGGCGTGCAACTGTGCATTATTAAATCAACCGATCTTCTAATTCCCACATGTTGTTAGGTTTAATATCTAACAAGTCATTTTTGAGATCCTAACTTCAAACAAACTTTTTTAAGAAAAACAATTGAAGATTATATATCAAAATGATTTTCACCCAGTTTATTGTTTTGATAAACCTTTTCGCAATAATTTTTATTTTCCTTATTAATGTGATTTTGTGATTCCGCTTTTCACTGTTCGATTATTGTCTCATGCATTTCAGTTTATTCCGTTTTTGTATGATTATTGAAAAGTTGGCCAAAATTAGCAAATTGTCAGATTAATTATCAGAAGAATTAATCAAAATCTGCATTTGTCAAGGGGAGCTGGTCAAAATTTGCCAACGGATCATATAATTCGATTTTCTAATTAAATTTTTTTCACTCATTTATTTAATTTTTTCCAGATTTAAATTACAGAAATTACAAATAATTACAAATAAATCAAAATGATTTGCAACAAATCGTTGTCGCAATTGCATGGATTAATTATCTAAATAAATACGATAAAAAATAGCCAGCTTTGCAGTTTTGTCCTTTTTTTTATTCTTTTATTACTTTTTAAATTTTAAATTCATTGCAATATTAAACCGAATGATTTCAGTGAAAGTTCTTTCACACTTTTTTCCCTGACTCTATTTTTTTCTTTATTGTTTTCCCTTTTGTCGACTCTCAAATTTTTTACCTAATAGAAAGTCAATGAATTTTATTTTATTTTATTTTATTATATATTTTACCATAAATCTACCCGTTCGTATAAGAAGCAAAAAAACAAATGCGTAAATAAATATGAGAGTTAACAATTGGTAGTCTTTTTCATTTTTGATTTTTTTGCTCATTTCTTGGACTTTTTTTTACAAATTGTTCACTTTTTTACTTTTAATCAACACTGCCGTTTTCGATCTTTCAATTTTTTCGAATTTTATTTATGTAAATGAATAAATTTATAATTTTTTTGCAAAGGGGAAAATTTAATACATTCTATAAAAGTGCCAAAATTTTTTTAAAACAATTTTTCTTTATCTGAGAGCACTCATCATCTGTGATAGGTTGGCTGTGAGGAGACTGTTTCTAAGTCGCCGTTTTTCCAATGTCCAAACCCATAATTTGTTTGGTTGCCTACACGTGCAAGATCCTGATTGTTGCAGTCCAGGCCCTGTTTGGTTCAATGCCATTCACCAGAATAGCGATATATGCTTCAATTTTGTGAAAGACGGTGAAGAACGCGCCCAAACTAGCGTAATCCTCAGTGATGATATTGTTAATGGTATTTGAGCGAAGCTGGATGGAATCATATCAGATTCTGAGTGCTCGATAGATATATAAAAAAAACCTTAGGCATGACCGAAGTTAGTGTAATTTTTAATATCTTCCACTTTCACTGGCCATGTTTCGTGCAATATGTGCTCTGCAACTAGAAGCCAATTATCGTTTCGACAGTGAATTAGCGGAGATTTCGCTAGATGGAAGGCGAATTTCTCTCCGAGCTAAAATTTTCGCTTGATTACCTTGGCACAATAATGAACCCAAAATATTTTCAAATCTCTTTCGTCTATTTATACTAATATGGAGACTTTCGTTAAAGATATCAATATAAATACACGTTAAGATAAATAGGGACAAAATTTGGGACAGTTTCTCATAAGAATCATAGACTCATCAGACCCATCAGCGTATTCAAGATCTGTGATGTTGTGCTCTAGACTGATTTGCATAACTCTGGTGAAAGCAGGCTAATCTTTATAATCCAATCTATGGCATAGATGAATATCAAAGGAAAGAAAAGCTGGATACACCAATTCCTATTTTAAAAGAATATGTCGATTCCTCATACACATATGCTTGTTGGTATATACTGGTAGAATGCCTTCATGAGACGGATGATCTACTCTGAAATATTATTCCATTCCATCATCCTCAGAGTTTTGTCCTACCAACTCAATCGATGGCAACTGGAAAACAAAGCTTGATGAGGTAGATATTTATGAGGTAGATGGCAATTGCTAGATATTTACCGATATTTGAAGTGATGTTCAACACACCTTTTTTAATGCGAATATAATCATTATTTCATCACACCATCGTCTGAATCCAGCTTGGTGTATATCCTATTATCTGATGCTGCCATAAGACTTCAGGTTAATTCCTCGATAATTGTCGCAATTTACCTTATCACCCTTCTTGAGCAGACATGTATTATTCATCTAACATTAGTTCCTTTCGCTCAAAGCAACGAATACATCCACTGAATAAGTTGAATATAAGTGGTATAGCAAATTGTCGTTTGAGGATGCGCCATTTCCACCTTTTGCACTCGCATCAAATACGGTAGTAGTTTTGTCTTTCCAGGCGTGAACACTGGATGATGCAATAGATAAAAAACTAAATCGAAATTTTTCGAGGATGTTTCTGTCTTCTCTATAATGTTTTCTGGAACTGCAGAGAGATGATCTGGTCATATTCCTCCAGTTTATTCCCTCCTGGATGGTTGCAGAGAGTTTTAATCGTCACTTTCAAACGCCCGAATAATTTGCCATAATTGTTTGCTAATTATGGTTGCGATTTGTTGGCGGTAATAACTTTTTGTTTTCAAGTCGTTGACGAGTTCTAAGTTAATTGCCCTTGTAGCAAGACAGGTAATTAAGGCGATCCAATTCTTTACCTTGTAATTATTTTATTTTATCCAAATCGGCCCGCTAAATCTATTACGATATGTTAAGAAGGGGCACTCCAATTTATTCATATTTGTGGGAATTTCTTCATCTTTGGTAATTCAAATTGCTGAGCTCTCCATATTTTTCAATATATGCAACCATTGTTAATTTTTCCAATCGTTTGAGTGCGTTTCGGTATCCAATAAGTTTCGGTTATGGAACATACCGTTGTATCCATCGATGCCTGTAACAATTGTTGGCTTTTATCCACACTAATTAATTTGATCAATCGATGAGAACTTCTAAGCAAGAAAATCAGCGGTTGTTCGAATCCAATCTTCGAATTTTCGAAATGTTGGAATCGAATCTTCTTTTATCTCCCACAAATCATTTTCTTCTTCCTTTATCTTCTCTCTTTGAACTTGTTATATTAAGATCTTCTCGGTTTTATCTCTTGTGCAATTATTGGATCTCTTGAATTATTTCAATTGCAATAATCTCTTACTGACTGGGTTGACAAAACGTAATGCACTATTACCAGTTAAAGTTTTCTAAGATCACTTTTGGTCATTTTTATAGTGGGGAAAGAAGGAAGAGGAAAAGAGGAAGGGAGAGGTGAGGGAACTAAGGGATGTGGCGTTTGGAGGAGTGGCGTTCTTGCGTGTAGTCGTTGCGTAGGTACCATGCGCGGTGCCTTTCTCTTTCTTTATCCTTTCGCCACTCCGATGCATCAACTTATAAATGAAATGATGTCAATAATTATATTTTATGTATAATATTATATGTAATATTTTATATATATATATATATTATTTTGATAATATATATTTTTGTTATTCGAAATAAAAGGTTTGATTATCCGAGTTTGACGCTCATCTACGTTCCACATTGCGTGCCAAACATTTCGTAGTGAAATATTTGAAGATGAACGCTTGGCCGCACTATATTCTTGACGCGGCAGAAGTTGAGTACGAATTTCAACACGGAGGAAAATTTCCAGAAGTGACGCTGAAGAATTAAATTTAATTGTGAGTTCGCGATCACCCTTAAGTACAGCCGTTTTACAGCGGGCCGGAAAGAACCGTCTTCAATCCGGTTGTGCCCTTTGTCGTAAATCCTCTTAACGCTCCTTCGAATCATGCTATTCTATTTTTCACATTCTCATTTTTACATTCAGCACATCTCCATTATTTTCCCTTCCTTCCTCATTTCAATTATATTCGCTTGACACTCCAAACCACTTCTCTTTATAATTTGTAGAAAATCCTCTCTCATCCAGAAAGACAGTGATAAGTGGTGGCAGAATCCGGATTATTACTTTGTCCGATGCGGCAACAATTGCGGTTGAACATATTGCAACTCACCCACTCGATTTTTCTAAATGGCATTTGAATCGATGCTATTGAATGGCCTGTTGAGCCTTACTTCAGTCGCATTTTATCATAACTGCGACCAAATGTTCGCAGACTGACGAAGCGTATTTGTCATTTTATCACTGCTGCAGTAAATCTTTCAGAAGATTTACTTAATATTTCGTGTCAAATGCAACTGAATTCCCTTCATTTTCCGAATTCATAAAATTAGAGAAATAGAAAAGCATGTTTTTTTGCAAGATTTGTTCAAATGTGGCGTCGTTTAATAGAGCCTTTTCCTGATATTTAACAACTTTCCAAGCAGTGCTTTCGTCATACGAAGCGTCCGAATGTGTCTGATGGAAATATCGATTGGAGCAAACTGGAGTCTCTTCTCCCTCATCAATGCAAAAAACGAAAAACATGGGTCGATCTAATAATTTCTTGCAATGAGATAATTAGATCCGTAAAAGAAGAGTCAATAAAGGAAGAGTTCTTATCGCAGTCGCGTGGAACCGAGACTTGGAAGACAAAATTAAGTATTCTCAGGCGTGAATCCAGGCATCTCTCTATGCCAATCTACTGTCTGTTAAGAACTGTAGGTGATAACTATGGGATTTATGACGATGTTTTGGCTGTTAAATATCTATTCTGGTCTAAAACCGATTTCTGGAGTACGGTAGCCTTTATTGACGGTCACTAAAATTTGTGGCCACGGTTGCTTTTTGTCGGACGTACATGCATGCTATGCTAAAGACGATAGTATTAAATGATAAACCTAGGTGAGATTGGGGTTATCAGGTGATCTTACTTTACTTTTATTTTTCATTTATTTTTTGCCTCAAGTTTTTTACTTTTGGCTGAAAAGTACTTTTTTTATTAAAAAATATCAACTCGATTTGTTAAAATTAATAAAATTTATTCGTTAAAAAGTTTGTTTTTGATGTTTCTTATAGAAACTTTTAACTTTTATGAGACTCTTAGAAAGGTCAATCACAAATCGCACAATTAAGGGAAGCGTTGCCATGAATTAAATCAAAAATTTTGCAGTCATCCACTTTAGACCTTTTATTCACCTTTTATTCTATTGCATTCCCTTAACATTGCCCGTAAGTGAACATCCAACATCACAGTGATATTAACGTTCGCTTTCTTTTTCTTCACTTTTCTTTATTGAGACCAGCTTTTCACTTGGAGATGTCCTTAACATTATCAGATTATAAATCTAAATCCTCCTATTCTGTTATTTTTATTTTTCATTATTTTCGCGCGAATTTGGTGCTATGATTCGTGTAAAATTTTCCATACGAATGAAATATGGATTTTCAAGAAATCTTATTTCAGGTATAATAATCTTTTCATTCAGTAGGCTAAGATTCACTCTATGCAAATGCAATGAATAGTGAACAAATACAAAACTGGTTAGCTGAGTTAAATGAGCGATATAAAATTGATGAAAAAACACTTCAAGATATCAGCAAAAAGCACGATTTACTAAATCATGAAACAGAAAAAACAAATTTCCTTATAAATTATCTTCATTGTAATTATACGGATATTGATCTTACACAACCAATAATTGCATGTCTTCTTGCGTCGTACTATAAAGGAGGTTTGTTGCCATTTTTAAAATTAGCAATAAACGTTGTCAGTTGTGCTCTCATTAAAATTTTTTGAAAAGATTTTCAGGTATTTTACGGTATTTTACCTTGCAATGTATACCTTCATTAGTCCATATTTATCTATTAGCATTAGCGAAACGACAACAGCGATCGATTTCGATGCTTAACACATTTCTTGTTGCTGTTTATAATGAAGAAATATTAGCTGGTGGATCAGGCTCGTCATCTCCATCTAAAAGAATTGAAGAGGTTGCTTTTTCAATCATAACGGTTTTATTTTCGTTTCTGGTGATTTGTTGGTCTTTTTTTGTTGGTGCATTTGTTAACACAGAATTTTACGTTAACATTTGATCGATATCCATTCATTAAAAATTTGAAATTTTTTTGGTGAGAATAACCATTAATATAAAATTGATTTTTAGAGGAAACAGTGTAATTTATTTGTTATGTTGAATTTTAATTTTGAATATTGTCGACTGAAATTTTAGAATTTGAAGATTTAAAGATTAAAGAAAAGGCAATGGAGCAGAATAATTTTTAGGTACGTATTCCATCAATACGTTATCCAAGTGTATATCATGATCCAAAGAAGTTAAATATTATTCCTGATTTGCCGCAAATGAGGACCGCAGCTTCTTATAGTGAGGTTAATAAATATTTGTTTTGCCATTTATGTGGTGCTCCCTTTGATTCCTTCTTCTATTTTTCGTCATCGTATATTATTTTTTATATTAGATTTCATTTTTCATCACTTTTTTTCTTGCAAATTTTGGGTTAAATTTTGTAAAGTGTAAAATTTATATATAATTTACAATCTAAAATTTCGCTGTCCATTTGGCTGATTGTAAGATTTTTAAAACAATTTTTAGAAAATTTTGAAAATTACAGGCTATATTTGTTGAAAGATGGTATTTTCTTTTATTCCTGTTTTTCATTTTTAAAATTTCTTTTGGTCCTTTATTTCTTTCTTACCTTCAGTTTTTTAGGTAACAGTACATATTGGACCTTATCCTTCATTTATAGAAATAAATGCGCTTAACAGGCAAATGATTTTAACTCGATTATTAAAATCCGTAAGCGTTTCCTGATTTAAAGAATCTCTGAATTGTTATTTTGTTATATTCTATTTATATTTACTTCTGCTCTTTATATGAACGTTTTTCATTTTCTTGGCCTGATCTCCAAAATCGAATTTAAAAGCTTTTTTTGTGAAATGTTTCTCGTAAAATGTTTCAGATAGGAGAGTTCGTGATTATAACTGTAGTAGATTTAAGTTTTTTGTTTTATCATTCCTCGATTTACACGCTTGAAAGATCGTGGAATATTATAAGCTGTTAAAATTTGCAAAATTATTTTGGTTTCTCTTGTAAATTTTTTAATTTTTCTGCAGTCAAATTGCTACAGTTTAGGTAAACAATTATCTTTGTCAGTATTCTCGGGATTTTTTTTGTCGTTGCTTGTGTATCAGCGCGGTCGCTATTTGCCAAAGTGGTTTTAATTTTCATCAAAGCGAACTATGTCTGCATTTTTTTGGAAGAGACTTATCGAATGAGTTGTCGAATGATTTTTCCAGGTGAGTATAATTACATTTATAAATTAAATTAAATATTTATTTTTCTTGACGGATATTATATTGATGCAAGGCTTCAGAAAATCGAGGTTAAAAGTATCATCACAGCTGTTATTAGAAATATTGAATGGTATTAATTTTGCTATGTTCAGTGGCATTCCTGAACTAGCGATGTGTGCAGTGGATGCTATTCATCAACGATCAGTTTACGAGCTTTATGCGGATGTTATCTTAGTATTTCATTTCAATGACTTTTTTTCACCCTTTAAGTTAGTTGTAAGTTTGCATCTAATTTAGATAATGCTTCTTCTGTCATTCACCATTCGTGGTTTTACTTCGTTGACTAGAGAAGGTAAGATCCTCTCGCTATTGAAACTTTTCCAGATTCACAGATAGAGATGCAGGTAGGTCCCTCAATGTTGTTTATTAGGATAGGCATTAATTCGATAAATTCTGTGGATTATTCCTGCTGTTAAAGCTAAATTGCTATGCTAATTCTTGTAGCTTTTGTCTTCAAGAATTTTTCATTTAGGTCACGAATAGTATTCGTAATTCATTGCTGGAGAGTAATTTACAAAAGAGTAATATGTTTCTCAAAATTGTGGGTCCAATAGCAACACAATCAGCATTGGAAAAGCGAAAAGTAAGCGATGCTTTTACGAATGCATCATTTCGCGTCAAAAGAATGCCTGAAGATCTCTCTCCTGTTGAGTCGAACTATAATATGGCAAACAAAAAGCATACTTTTACCAACGGTGAATTTTTTTTCCATTCCCAGGAATCCAAATTTATAGTTGTAAATAGAATTTAAATTTTAAATTTCTTTTTTATTTAAATATAGCTGGTTCTCAAAATTAATAATTTTTTTCAGGATTTAAGCAAATTTTTCTCCGTTTTTCATTTCACTTTTTTTTCTCTTTCTAATGGTACTGACCATTTCTGGTTTGATTTGCTGCATTGGCTTTTATCATGGAAGTTTACACCAGTTATCTCATCTCTTCACCAGAGAATCATTTACTTATAGGACTATAGATAGGCTAGCATCATCCGGATATTTTTAGCGATGAATTTACTCCTGTAGAAACGGGAGATCTATTCGGTTTTCTTTAATCGGAGCAGCTTGATATTCATCTCTCCTGTTCCAATTATACTATTTTTCAGCCTGCTGTATCAGTGAGATCTAAGGCTCTTTGAAAGTTTTGTTTTCTGATTGGGAACTATCTCTGATATAATTTCCTTATTGTTTCGGAATTTCGGAAATTACAAAATAATTTGGAAAATATGAAATAAATGATTGAAATGCTTTTAGGTGTGGAAGAGTTAAAGAAAAAAATATCTATGAAAATTGACCAACGTAAAATTGAAAATTTAAAGCATTTTGGACATCAAAAAAATAAAATGGTGATTTTATTTTTTTTTTCCCCAATAGTAATTAGTTCTCTTTAATCAAATAACGAATATGGTTGCTAAATTTATTTCATCTTTCACTCCATGCAATTTGCTATTTTGGAAAATTTTTTGAATATATATGAATAAATGCATGATAAATTTTAGATCATAATCTTTTCTATAATTATTTATATAAAGTTGGACTTTTTTGTTTTATATAAAAATTTACGAAATGTCAATTTGAAATATTGTATTGTTTCAGGAAGTCGTTAATGAATGTGGGTCTGAAATTGAACTTGGTCCAATTAATGAAGAAGCACAAACAACAGATGAAATTATCGACCATTTAGCAGAAACATTGCTGAAATCAAATTCACTGAATACAAAATCGATAGCTAATGGAGAGACTGTATCAATTACACGTGAATCTGAAGAATTTTCCAATAATATAATTTTTGATCCATTAACCGATTCATTAAGGCATATGGACAGCTTATCGGATAGTTTCGAAAAAACTTCTTTATAATATTTAATATCAATGGGAAATGGAAAATAACATTGATGAGACCTTTTATATGCTTTTTTTTGCTGTTCATAATTTTTTCTATAAATTCATAAAGTTTGCATCTTTTGTAAATTTGGTGTATTTTCCTTGATTTTTAATGTTGAAATCCTGAAAATTTTAAAAAATTCTTTATTCTTTTCTTTATGTTTTTTCTTTATTCTTTATTGAAAATTCTTTATGCTTTCACTTCCATTTCTTTTGGGCCTTTAAATGTTGGAAGTGTTAATATAATTATTCTATTTCCTGGGCCTTTTTTTTTCTTATACAGCCTATTTTTTACAGTAGTTATCTTGTTTTTCGATAGATTTTTGAATTTCACATAGATGGGGGATTTTTTAAGTGCGAGAGACAATTGAGTGGTTCCAGAAAAATATGAGTTGCCTATTCGATCTTTTTTTGGATAATGACCTGGAAATTACTTATACAGGTCTTTTATCTTTGAAAATAATTTTTTGCTTCTGTTCCACTTATGTAGAAATTCTTATCGCTTAATGGAGCAATTTTTTTAGTAATTGTGAAAAATTCTGAAGTTTTTAAGTTTAAAAAATTTTTCGCAAGTTTTTGGATTCTCATTTCTTGTGTTTCATATCTTCAGTTTTTTCTAATGCTATTTTCATTGACAATTTTGGTGATAATCGAGACGAGAACAATATGAATCGAATAGGTATACTATTTCCATTTAAATGATTGTGTCTCTCATTTGATTTAAATATTTGTTTAGCTTACTTTATTCTACTGTAGATTGAAAATCTAAAATAGTTTTTCAAAAATCAAAGATGCTGGAAATTTGTAGTTTTTTAAATTTGTTTTATTGTAAATTTTTATTCTTTTCTCAGTCTAAATTATTGCATTCTGTTTATTTTCTTTCATTTCTAATTCGTTCATGAAAAGTGGAATAGATAAATATAAATATAAAAAGTGAACGGTAAAGATTCAAATTTTGTTTGAATTTCCTGGTTATCATGATCATTATATATATATATATATATATTTGACAAATGAATCATGATAACCAGGAAATTCAAACAAAATTTAAAATATATTAAAATATATAACAAAATATATATATAAAGTATTGTGGGCAATAAAATTTTTGAGCTAATTTGTTTTTTTGAAATGTTATAGTAATTGAATTTTATTTTGAATTTTTCAAAATTAAGAGTTCCGGCTACATTTGAAATTTGATTAGCAGTGTTGATTCCTTAAGTCGGACTTCAAAAATTTATTATTCGATTGTTATTTTGGTCGGTCTTAATTTTCATCTACTTTATAGCATTTTATTCTTTAAGGTTCATCAGTTCAAAAAATTGTACCGAAGTTTCTTATGGTTTTGGTTTTGGTATTTTTTAGATTAGAAAATCATACGTCAAGAATTAGGAGAAAATTTTTGAATAGGCGGGTGTAATCCTCATTTTTATTTGAAATTCTCGAGAAAATTAGTTGTTTTAATTTGTTGATATTTGCTGAGATTTTAATTCGTTTCTTTGTTTTTTCTTTGCTGTAATTAAATCGAAATTGTTTTTCCAAAATACTTCGTATAATTCGTTTAACCAGTAATGGTGAAAGCTTTTAAAAAAAAAAATTTGTGCATACGATATATTTAGTGGTATTGAATTCAGTTAATTAAATGAAGTTTAATTTGTTATGATCATCGGTCATTTAATCAAATCTAACTCTTTCATAAACTTACACTGGGATTCAAATCAGTAATCAGAGGGTAATCGCAAATTAGCAGCCTATTTTTCCGCAGACCATTGTAATATAGCCAGTGATAGTTGCGGTCAAGGAACAAAATGCACCAAACAAAGCAAGAAAGAAACTGTAGCCAAAAGCATCCGTAAAGTTCCGTTCTTTGATTAAATCCATCATTTTTTCTAAAATATCGGTCAACTATCAGGATTGCGGGTAATGATTAGCAAATCAAGCCACTAAGATCAACAAATATACTTTTTATCTTTATATTAATGCATAAAGTTGGTTCTACTAAAAAACGACATTTGTGGAAGAGCTTGGTTTCGATTTCAATTTAAAAACAGTAAGGTAATCATAAAGATAATGTGATAGAAAAGACAAAGAGTCAAAATTTCGAAAGGAACGAATATATTTGAGAATAGAAAAAAGCTCTTACGAACCAATTTCGCCTTTTTGTTGGGTCTCACAAACAATAAGTGCTGCGATCATAGAAACTGTTGCGAGGGCAGCCAAATTCGGAAGTGGTTTATTAAATTGGCAACAAAAGGCCACACAGCTTAATATGCCCCATAAAGCTGCGGTCACTTGTAGGATTATTGCGATTATCAACAAGACTATTACCAACTTTGCATACGTTTGCTTTTCCTATTAATCACTTATTTTAATTATTATAGTTGAAATAGCGATAAAAAATAAAGATTTTCGCTCGTATGATTATTTTTATTTCGACATCATGGCATCAAAATTTCTGGTTTGGCTTCAGGATGGTATCTCTTTACTAGAGAGTGATTTGGAGATAGAACTACAAAAGGGTTCGCAGCACCGCTCGTATATGATTTAAAAAAATTGTTTTGATGGTTGTAACGGATAATTGGAAAAAATTCTCTTCATAATTTTAGGCTCATAAGCACTTACATTGAACCATCTTTGACATTTTGCATACGTCAGTCTGGTTATATTTTCTTCACAGAAGGCACCAAAGAGTCCAACGCCGATTTTTTTCCCAAGTATTTGATATATATGCCAGCCTGGTGTGACGAAACTGATTGTAGTGGCAAGTGCTGCTACAGAAATTGTACCGATAAAAAAAATCTTCAAAGTATTTTAATGATCGATATAAAAATCATCGCTCTTTAATAATCAAATTATTGGTTAATAAGGGCAATACCAAGTTTCGTAACGAAATAAAGGTGTTATCTGATATTAAAGAAAAAAAGGCATTCAATCGTTCTCCTAAAATTTTCTAGTTCCCTAAAATTAATAAGGTTTTTTTGCCAGAGAAATGACGTGCAGGTGGAGTATACGTGCGTCTTCACCAGTCATAATTAATTGCACCTTTACTATCATCAAAAGGACAGAAAATTTTCCTTTAAGTTCAGCATTTCGAAGTCAGAATATATAAGTGACTTGTTATATAAGCGATTTAGCAAAGGGGAAACTGGCAAAACAACTTTCTCATATAATAAATTCGGAAATAAAATTGTTAAAGAAGAATTACTTTAAAGATGGAAGAATAGCACATGGAAACGGGGTATTCGTTGCAATATTCTGATTTTCATGACATTTCATTCTGTTTGTTTTTTTCCATTAACAGAGTTGCTACGCATTAAACTATATAGCCGCTGGCAACGAAAACTGCTCTTAAATCTTTACGAAATAATACGAAATAATATTAGACTGAAAACCAAGGTTACACTATATATTCGCAATGAAGAGCACATAAGGTTTATTGCGTATGAAAAACTTGGTATAAATCACCTAACTTTTAAATAAGTCTCGCATTTATTTCATTAGTTGTATTGAGAAATAGTGGCAAATGCTTTAATTAAATCGAAATATGAATATTTAACCGCAGTTTGTGGATTCACATCAGTGGGCTTCACTAGAGATGTCATGAATTTTTATATATATATATTTTTTATATGTTAATAAATGGATATAATTTATATAATCTGTTATAAATAGGTCTCTCTAATATCCATTTACTTCGAATATTGGTTTACAACCTGAAAGGTCTTGTGAGACGTTTTCAAAATTTTTAGATTAATTATAACTAAAATGCAATATATTTCAAGATTAAAAACTATGGGAATACTGCACAGTTTTGATTCTGAAATAATATTTGTGCAGCGATAAGCGGTATTAATGAACCATATATTTATTATATTTATTATATTTTATAAATTTTATATTTGAGTACATATTTGTCATATTTTATATATGTGTTTCGAAATGAACTCGTCTGCATCGTCTAAAAAATCATTTGAAGCCTTTTCTCGATCTCCAAACATCATCCTAATAGCCCTTGAATTTGGCTATATTCCTTTGAAACTTTGCCAAATCTCGAAAAGCCTTTTCACTTTATTAGTACATAAATTATATCTTTTTACCTTACAAATTTCAGATCCCCTATTTATCCTGAATAGCTTTTTCGGAATCTATCATAACTCTTTTCATCTCTTTGTTCTTATATTTTTAAATCCTCTTGTTTGTTGTTTATTTATTTATGTGTAGCGCCAGCATGCAGATGGAATTCAGCTCTGCCTAGTTAAATGTTTAAAGAAATTTACTATATGGGTTTCTTATCGGCTAATGTGCTATTAAAGTGTGCATCGCGCTTTTTCTAAATGAATGGTTTCTAGTCATTTCCTCTATTGACTCTCTCTATTAACTGTCCTCCATATGGAGCAGGACTACAGTGCTGGGCTCGAAAATCCATAATTATGCTTAACTTACAGTTGTTTAACGGGACATATCGAGATTTGAATAATTTGAGTATTTTAAAACAGTCTCGATTTCACGAGTTATCGTAATGTTTCTCTTATTTGCATGTTACCTCAGAATCTTGGATTATTTGTGGGCAAACTGGCAAATTTTTAAATTATCATCCTTATGCATTGCACAATTGAAGACTATGAGCCTTTAAATCACTCATCTAAATTCTTTTCAAATCAAATGTCTATTTAACAGGGTGTCTAGCGCGACGAAAAGTTCAAATGCTAATTTTTCTGAAGCCGTTCAAGAAGGTTATTTAAAACTTGGTTTAATTGTTGTAAAATATTCTTAATTTCTATATTTTTCCAAATTTTTGATGAATTTCCTATTCCCATTTGTTGGTAATAAAATAATAAAACCTCGGCTTTATAATTCTCTCCACCTTTCCGTCTTCATATTTTAGCCTTTTTCAATTATAAAATTTGCCTCTTGATAGGGCCTAACCTATTAAATTAGAAATTTTCCACCAATTTCCCATGTTATATTTATAATTTTGGTTAAACTGAAGACTATATATACTATTATTGCAGTATATTATTTTATTATATTCTTGTTTTTGAAATTTGTCGAAAAGATTTTCTTTCAATATTCTTTTACTTCGATAGTGATAAATAAATATTATTATAAATACATAAGGCAGTAAATCTTTGTAAATTTTAATTTTTCTTTTCTTTCATTTTCTTTTTAAAATTTTCTTTCAATCCATTCGTCACTGAACTTATTCCATTCGTTCAAATTTTTATATTTGTGGATTTTCATCATCTTTTTGGTTAATTTCATTAAAGTATTTTTAAATTGTGGGTTATCACACTTTTTGGAAATGCGGATGCTGAAATTTTACTTTAATGATAAACTTGCTTTTCGAAAAATCTGGATGGTACTGACGAATAATCTCCACTTCTATCAGGTGATTTGTTGGCAAAATTTCCTGGTCCAAAAAGCCAGCGGAGCGAGCCTAATCAAAAGTGGTGTTTCAGAAAAAAAGATTATTTAATCGGTTATCGGTTTTATAATAAAAATAACGAAAAATAACGAAAATAATTTATGATACAATTAAGCTCTTTTAATTAATGAAAAAAGCTCAATGGCCCATAAAAAACTTATTCAAAATTCCTCAGTAGAACAAGTTCTCAAACAAACTTTAGGTCAATAAATAAAATATTTTGTGAAGAAAAAAAATAAAAAAGAATAAGAAATATTAAAATAAAACTTAGGAAGAAAAGAAAATGAATTTGATGACAAGAAAATTTCGTAATTTCATAAATTTAAATTACATAACTTTTTTTACCACTAATTCAGTATCCATCCACTCATTTTCCACAAAATATTTCTTATTTCTTATTTCTAAGCTTTTTTTTACTCATATAGCGAAACTTAATCGATGAAGGCTGGAGCTAGAAGAAGATTATATGCCTGAATAATATTGATCAATGTGCTTGTTCTTATTCTTCGTTGGCTACCACAGAAACTGATTGTATAACTTAATGCATAATGGTGCAATTCTAAGCTTTGAGATTGATGGTCTCAAAAAGCAAGAATATCCAACTAAAATGTGGATTAGTACGCTAAGAAGAGATCCAGATAGACATCCCGCTGTGGGCTTAGTTGGTGAGGAAAAGAGTGGCTTCAGTTAGTTTTAGACAAGGCTTGTAAATGTCTCATTTGCGTAACTAGTGAAGCCGTTGTGTGCTATTAGAGGAAGAAAATCTCCGATCAAATCGATAAACCAAGGTAGACCGAATATTTTTCCATTTTTCCAGAAAAACTAAGACAGATCCGAGATCCGATTTATAAATTTCCTAGACAAATGAATAATTAAGAGGTTAGTGTTTATCACTTCCCTTTAGGCTAATTCCTTTGGTTATTAAAGCGATAAGAGATTTTTTTAATGAGTCACTTCAGGATAGTGAGAGATCACCCAGACTTTTATTTCGAACCCTTCATTTTCAATATAATCTGCACAACTGATCACTGGGATATTGCTTTTCCAAAATTATGCGGTTATACAACTGATCACTGGGATATTGCTTTTCCAAAATTATGCGGTTACACAGAATCATTATTTTTGACATTTTGATCCAAACCATGACATTTAATAATTGATATGCTTCGATAGAACTTTTTCGAAAACTTATTTGCCGCTGGATCTTTATTTTACAACTTCTCAAACAACTTTTCCTTCAAAAATAAGACTTTAAAGCAATTCTTTGTTAATGTCGATCAGCCTTTTCTTTAAAATCTTATTCAATAGATGTTATTTTTTACAAAAAATAGCCCTCAAGCTTTTAAAGCCGGTGATGAATAGATGATCGAGTATGGGATTCAAGAATTGTCGAAGAGTCCGAAATGGTTTTACCCGACATTAAAACGAGGAATGGACAACAACTAGAAATGGAATGAAAATCTGCAAATGCAATTTTCCAAGGCAAACTGTTATATTGGAATTTTAGTTGCATATTGAGCATTGAAAGATATAATAAAAATAGACAAGAACAGATTTTTCCACTTTTTCTTAGTTTGATTCCATTTTCAATTCACTTCGCATTCTTTTCACATAACAATTCACTTTTTTTAACTTATTTTTTATTTTTCAATTATCCTTTATTTTTCAAATTCTGTGTCACTAGGTACAGAAATCAGCATTCGAGGAAAATACTTTTATCCTATATGTACATGAAAATTGTGGGATGAAAATCCGCTTTCTAATTATAGAATTGGAAAAGCTCCGCATTTTTGTGAATTTGCCTCAACCAGATGAAAAAATTAGAAAGTTGTAATGAAAAATCATTTTATACCTTGAACCCTATTTCTTTTTTCAGTATTCGGCGGTCAAAATCAACAGTGAATAATTAGCCTGCAGAATATACGAGAAAAGCATTTTATTCTAATCGATCATGGTCTTTACATGTATATCCATCTCCCATAAAAAGCCAAAAAACTAGAGCCAAATTTCTTTTCCATCCCAAATCAGATTGTTATCACAACTGTTTGTCCACCATTCGTCAAAATTTTCGATCCTATATTGAATACGAGGTCTTTGCCATAAAATCCTTAAAAATACATTACTATGCCTCAATTTACAAAATTCTTTCACTCTGTTTGAATTCTATTTTTTCTTATGGACTTAATTTCTCGAACAATTTTTTTGCATTCCATTGTTAATTCTTGTTAATGTCCCCACAAAAAGCAGCATATTAGGAACTCATTAAATACTTAGAAAATTCTCATTCCTTTCTTCCTTTCTCCTCGCAATAATCGCCATCACTTCTAGTGATTACGGAGAATCTCACGTAAATTTAGATGTATATTAAGATACGTTTTCTAGAATCATTTAGCTCCTCTCTTCCTATCAAGGGAATCGAATCTATGGTCGATACGATTCGTTGATCATTTCGCCATATTTTTTTCTACTCATAACATTCTGGCATCGATAAAATTTATTTTCAAGCAAGAGGAAAAACCAACAGTAACCATCTTTTTATCAGACTTTGTGAATATTAAGATATTAAGATATAATTAACATAAACAAAAAATTATTTAAAATATTCTATAAATATAATTTAAAAAATTTTGTATAAAGTATAGCAAAATATTCTAAAAATATTCTATAAATATCATCAAAATTTTTCGTTCGAAATATTATCTATTAAATCCTTTTATGATCCTAGCAAAGCTAATTATAATTGGCTTTTTAATAAGCTTTTTAATTAAACAATTAAAAACATCATATGAAGTAAATGACTGGTTAATGCCTACCAATTCCAATTAGATTAGTTTTTTATTAATACAGTCATAAATTTCTGTCAAGTCATTAGAGAATTATTTAATAGAATAGGTCAGCATTACCAGCCGTTTTTTTAAAATTATTTTTATTTGCGATTAGATTATTCTTATTAAGAAGAGGAAATCGGACCCTTGATCGATGAATGTCGAAACAGCTATATCGACTATCCTTCAACTTACTCATTATATAAGTGAGTGTTTAAACAATATATACCTGCATAACTGGCAAAGTCCCCATGGTTTTTCGAGTGAATCGTGTTTAACTCCATCCAAAAATATGACAGCATAATCCCTTCTCCAGTTAAAATATTCACTAAAAAATTTTCTTATTGTTCTTATTGCCACATGATTTTGGAACAGCAAAATATGTTTTAAGATACTTGATAGCCTTCAAAAAAATGAAATTTTCTAAATGCAATAAAAATATCTAAAAAACTGACAGGTAGGCAGTTCTGTTCTTCATTAAATACTTAAGATAATCAGCTAGATGTTTAGCGGATTTAAAATCATCAACTGCAATGAATGAATGAGGTGGCACAAAATTTTGAACGATTTTTCTCCTGAGTACGAGTGGAACAATATCATGCTGATATCCTTGATTCCATAGTTTCTCTGTTATGTAATCTTTACAGATCGAATTCTCGAACGCAATATAAAAAAAGTACCTGAAGAAAATTGTGAAATATATCTTTTTTAAAAATTTCGAAATTTCGCACCGGTTAATTCTTCTTCTTCTAACAGCTCTCACCAATACTGGTTAGGCTGGCCCACTGGCTAAGAGAGCAAGATGTCCCCAAGCCTCCCGATCTGACGCCATCGCTAGTAATAGAAGCCATTCCTTTTTCCATCGTCTAAGTCCATATATCGCTGGTCCCCATATACGTTCAAAATCTTTCCTGACTGTATCATTTCAGATCTTGACTGGCCCTCCTCGCTTTTGACACTAACCTCACATGGTTCATCAAATAGCGAAATATGCGTCAACTCCTGTGGTGGACGATGGAAAAAGGAGAACGTGTCCTAACCAGCGAAGGCGATCTATGATAACATTATTTATGCAAGTGGTATTTTATCTGCTCGGCGGAACCGTATAATATACCTTAGACATGAGTGGTCAAAAGCTAATAGCTTCTTAATATCTTCCACTCTCATTGACTCCCATGTAGCAGCCATACAGCCATATAGCAAGATTGAACGAATTACAGCTATATGGACACGGATTTTCGTCTTTATGGTGATTTCGCGATGGTTCCTTAAAGGTTTTGTCAACCGGAAAACATAATTCTAGATGCCATTATTCGGGTTACGATTTCATCCTTTGCCTGGCCATTTGGGATTAGAGTGGATCCAAGTTAAAGTCCAGCATTTCCTCAACCGGCAATGAATTGATAAAAATAGGTATTTTATCAGCATCTTGTATATAAGACAAAAATACTTTCGTTTTATTTACATTGATTTGAATCCAATTCTCGCTGCAGTTGCTGATATATTCTTTAACATTATTTGCATTTCCTCATAATTGTCAACAAAAAGGACTACAACACCAGTGTATTCTAGGTCTGTGATACTATACTCTGGACTGATTTGCACACCTCTTGAATGCCGACAAGCGATGCCCATTATCCAGTCTATCGTATAGTTGAATATTATGGGGGAAAGGATGGGAAAATCAGTTCTTATTTCAAAGGAGTTTGTCAGTTCCCCATATACAGACTTATGCCAGGGTATGCTGATAAAATGCCTTTATGATCTTCTCTGGGACACCGCCATTCCGTCATTTTCCAGAGCGCTGTCAATCATTCTATCAATCGAATCGAAAGTATCTGCAAAATCGATAAAGCAAGTGAGGGTGGGTTGTTGATATTTGAAGCGATGTTCCATCACCCTTTTTAGCGTAAATATCTGGTCAGCAGAACCTCGCCTTGGTCTTCATTTGGTTAGGACGCATTCTGCTAACTCGAGTTGTCATGAGCCTATTTAGCAGAAAATTTTTTCGGAAATGTCCAATAGGCTGATTCCTAGGTAATTGTCACAGTACATCCTATCGCCTTTCTTAGAAATGGGGAGCAGAATTGCTTTGTTCCAGTCTTCTGGTATTATCTTTTTGCCATACCAGAGAATACATTTGTTGAAGGTGAGTTATGAACGATGATGGGCAATTTGAAGTTCGGCCTGAAGACCATTTTCTTCTGGAGTTTTATTAGCCTTAAGCTTATGGATTAAAGAGAGTATCTCCTCTTCTGTTGGCGGCTCACAATTGCATACATAAGGCTAGATGTGCAAATCAGTTATATTCGGGACAACAGATGGTGCGTCGTGGTTAAGTTTGGCCTCAAAAAATTCTTTCCATCTTCTGAGGCGATTCTTGACAGCTTTAATAAGCACCCCATTAATATTCCGTACCATTTCACTGATCCCTTTTCGAGTTATAGTTGCTTTGCGGAGAAGACGAAACAGATTCCTATTATCACCTATCCGACTCCATTCCCAAGGCCATGTCGCTCCAATAACGATTTTTATCCCGCCGTACTGCTGTTGTTGTAATTCTTCGAAGTATCTGATAGTCAGGATCTCCTTATATTCGGGCTTTGGCAGTTTTTCCAGACAGTTGGACAGTTGCTTTCAACACTCAACTAACACACTTCATACTACTATACCCTAATGTGGAAGTGGTTGACTTTTGTAGGCATATCTTTAATTGGGAGCAGTATTCATTCGCCGTTCCAAAAATGTCATTGACATTCATTTCACTGAGGTGTTTCAATAATGAGGTTTGACATATGCTTATTGTTCCCGGATTTTTTAATTTGAGATAGTTGAATGATCTTGGGATACGTTATTTCTTACAACTTATCAGTTTTATACGAATTTTGGCTCGAACCATAACACGATCTGATCCATGGCGTTTACCAGCTTCAACGCCCCGATAAGTACGACTATCAAGTACAGAACTCTTCCAGCGGTGACTGATTAATATATAGCCAATCTGATTGGAATATTGGTTGTCTGAAGAATTCCACTTGACTAGATGTTTTCTCCGATGCCGAAAGCATATATTAGTAATACAGAGTTCATGCTGTTCCGCAAAACGAAGAAAAACGATTCTCCATTGGCGCTGAACCCAGATGCTACATTTGCCAATTATCGAATTCATCGTAATGGCATCATGACCTACGTACGCATTCCAATCTCCCCTGATTATGACCATGCTACCTTTCGGTAGAGATGTTGTTAACAGTTGAAGTTCCGCATAGAACTTATCCTTATCGCGGTCATCTGCATATAAAGTTGGAACACATACCCTGAAATATTGCAGAACTTTCGTTTGAAACGTGCGTAGGCCATACGGTCATTTACTGATTTCCATTCAATCAAAGCCTTTTCCGACATAACAGTCGCTATGCCATTTCGCCCCAAGTTATCCGAGACACTACTGTGAGCCAATCTTTGGAACCAGGTTTATTAATAATTACTCGGGAGCTGACATGAGGAAGACGGACAAACAAGTCACATCCAGTTTCCGCCTCCCTTGACGCAGACGTCGCGTCAAAGAGACCTGACCTATAGCGCCCAGATTGTGTATTCATCGCATGTACCACCGGGTCAGAAGTAAAGTGCGTGTCGGGAGACACAGACGTCGCGTCAAAGAGACCTGACCTTTTAGCCATAGAACCACTTGTGGATAGAGATACAGATGGGTCCCCAGCAGCCACCCGGATTTTTGACATCATGACAGGTTTACTCACGTCAAAGATAAAGGATAAAGGTAATCAAATTATATTTAACGGATAAGTTTAGAAATGATATTTTAAAAAAATCTTAAAAGAAAAAAGAAAAGAAACTTATCCAATTAGTAGAAGATAATTGAAAATAACAATAAGTGTTGAATTATAACAATAGAAGAAATATTTTAATAGAGTTATAGAAATAGAATAATAGAAATATTTAATAGAAATATTTTAATAGAGTTGCCGATTTAATATTTCAAATGAATAATGAATGAATAAATATAAATAAATATATTTATATATAAAATATATAAATATATTTCAATTTAATTTTTTTTGTAATGTCTTAAGAAAGTTTAAATTAACTACAACCACTGAAACATATAAATTACGAACTAGATCGAAGCCCTCATACTTGTTTATTATGGACCTTGTCTTGCTCTTCTGACCATTGTCGAGCTACAGTTGTCAAGATAATTAAACTCCTGCATCTCCCTCTAATCTCACCAATCACCCAAAAATAATAAAAAAAGAAACTATTGAAGATTTTTGGAGCTTTTAGGCTTTTAATAAAATATCATTCTGAAAAGAAAAGAAAAATAAAATAAAAGAAGTTTTTACTTTGTATCCAGTAGATCTTCGCATTCACTATTTCTTGGACAAATAAGGCTGCCATGCGTCCCATAAATATCAATTTTGATATGCTTCTTAAGGAAAATGCCCATCAAAAAAATTTAATTTAACAATCAGCAATATCACCGAAAGCCACAGTAAAATTTCGAAAAGAAATGAATTACGATTATAATAATTTTGAATTACCTTTAGTTCGTCGACGAGAAGCTCTCGCCTACTTTCTGTTTTACTATTGCTTACGAACCATGTTATAGGATGGCTTTTGCCGGATATTATTCTTTCATCAATAACAGTTCCAAATTTCCTTGATTTTGGAGCTAATTTTACAGCATACCCATATGGCGATGATACTGGACTATCACGACGAAAATTAAGAGAGAAATTGAACGTACGTGGTTCCAAAAGTTTGCCTGTATTAACGGGAGATTCCTGAAAGTGGCGAAATAATTTATATACATATATATTCTTCACCTTCTTTCTCATATTGTTTTAAACGATCGGAATGAGGTGGCTTTAATCCAGGAAACGATTACCATCCGTCATTCTATCCTATCCTGCAAACATCTATTTGTTTTTCTAAATTACCAATCGTTTCATTTCATTCTGACAAATGGCTGTGCAAATTAATGCCGCGAAATAATTTGCCAGAAATATGTTCACATTACCGTTCCGATTAATACAAATCATCATCAAAAAATCTTTTTTATTTTATGTTTTTTTAAAATTCTAAGCGTATTTGCTTAAGATTATATAATATAAGATTAAATAAATTAGAGACAGATTAGCTGAAGCATGGTTCAATTTGATTAAGGAATATCTTTATGGAATACCTTTCAAAAATTGCCATTAGCTTACTTGGCTAAAAAAAGCGAAATATTGCTCGGGCGGTGGTTTATAATCATACTCGATATTAAATCCTTCTGAAGGATGCATGACAATGGCATCATATTCTCGTAATCTTTGGTTTGATTTTTGTCCATTCTCAATTTTACAATTCCAATTCGGGCACGCATTAAGATTTCGATTGTTGATCACATCCACGTTAGAATATATCCGCTTTGGAAGGCCTAAACATTTTAAATGGCTTTTTGCCCTTATCTTATTTAATATTTTTTATTAAATAACCGAAATTATGACGTCTTTTTTTTGATCCTAGTTTTTTGAATTTTAAGCGAAAACAGGATTTTGAAAATGTTATTTTTTAGCAAAATGTTTCATCATGTTTTACCATTATCCTTGCAGTAAAGAGGATTTTAACTTGCGCCCATTTGATATTATACGGTTCAAAATCTCAAACAACATTTGGTCCATATATATTTCTATCCCTTAGAAATTAGTAGAAGGCTTTCACACTTTTCACTAAAATGGTCAGGCACAGCAAGTAAAATGAGCAATGGAACGTTGAAGAAAAATTCAATTTTCAATTTTCTTAATTTTAATTTTAATTTAATTTTTTAAGTGGAATTCATCAGAAATAGTTAGTTTTATAAGAATTTTTGAACAGGAAAATAGAGAAGAAAACTTGCCTCGGGGCCTGATGTTTGACTCCATTTGCTTATTTAAATTATTTACACTGCCAATAATACTTTCAATCCAAATGTCTCCACATTTTTTTGTTTTCACGAAAAAATATTTGTCGGATGGTGATTCTTGTTTTTTAGAAACTGCACCTAAATTCTTCTTATGTTAGACAAATATTCAATAAAGTCTGTTTCTTTCATGTTGTTATTAAGATTTTAAGATCAAAGGGAACGCAAAGATAATTTGAATTCTCCAAAAATATGGTACCACGTCTATACCATAATTAACTGACAAATTTAGTGGATGATTTGTAAAGCATTTAGAAAAGGAGGTCTATTAACTTTCGAATTTTCTAAAAAGTCGTGTATTAACGGTACATTATTCCCATAGAATCTGAAGGAAAATTCAGCTTGAAGCCAAACAGCATTTATAAAAATTTTGACTTACTCATTTCATTTAGCGATGCTTGCAAATTTCTTTGGTACATCTGAAATTAGTGAAATTTAACGCTAGGAAAAAAAAAAGTGTTTCGGCTTACCTAAACATTCTAAAGCAGAGACCGTTGCAAAATTCTAAGGTCGAATAATAGTTCAATAAAATTAATTCCTCAAAAAAATGACAAGAAATATCAGACTTTTAAGCGATCACTAGCATGTAATTGGCACATAACGTTATATCTTGCTTAAATTCACTTCATCAATAAATAATACTGAAACAGAGCGGACTTTACTAGTCAGTAAAAATTTGGCTAAATTTGACACCATCGATTCGAATTTAATAACCAGTGATAATTAATTGAAAAGTGAATCTCACCGTTTGAACTGAAAGATATAAAACATTCGGCGAAAAAAATAATAAAAAGAATATAAGCGGTGCAATTAAAAATAGAACTTTCCGCCGATGGAATATTTTTTCCCAATATTTTTTAAACAATTTTAAACATATTACAAATTTTCCCATCCCAACAAAGCTATTGCACATTATTCACTGAAATATCGAATCTTTAAATGAAAAATTTCCACAATTTGATGAAAATCTAAAATTGAGTATATTCCGTACTCAAATGAAGCATCACATTTACATATTACGTGATTTCAGATTTATTCAATGAATGGTTCATTTCGCAAATGCAATGATTGTTGAATATTTAAGACTTAATGGTTCAAAAAATTTATTCATGAAATTTATTCATGAAAAGTTAGCTAAGTTAAGTTTTTCTCTGTTTTCATTTCCATTCAATGCGTGATTGTAGAAAATATTGTAGCGCTCGTTAATTATACTATCGTTAATAATAATCCGTTAGCTAGCTGCTAGTACGACTTAAAATTTCAAAATTCTTGGAAAGCGACATGTGGAGCTTTCAGATTTTTTAGCAGACTTATTCTTGTCGAGAGCAGGGTTTATACTCTTGTACTTCAGCTAAACAATCTGATTATGCATGCATCCTGTATGAGAGACTTATCAAGTTTCACTTGTAATTAGCTTGGAATCTTCTTACTAATGCATGCAAGAATTTAGAAGAATATAATAAGTCAAAGCCAAACCTTTCTTTGTTGATTGTCACTAAACAATTCTTTGTCTATTAATAAATTGCTGAATAAACGTCGTCTTTTCCACTATTCCTCGAATTCTTTAAGCTTAATCTTTAATGCGAAAAGTGAAAAATGTTATGCAATCGACGATAAGGATAGATAAAGAAACATTTGAGATGAATTAATGATGGAACAGTGAAATGAGCAACATAATATGGGGTCAATACAATTGTGCTAGGTCAAAATTTCGAAGATTTGAATCTGAAGATTTATCATATTTATCAAACACTTGGAATTTATTTTTTTAGCGTGAAAATTTTATTACGACGATAATTGAAATGATTATGAAATTTAAGGTGTCTGAACCTGCTGCAAAGTTTCAACTGTTCATTAAATCTCTAATGACTTTAAGTATCGCATATTTAGGAATTTCATCAATTTATTATATTTTTCAATTCACACATGATAAAAAGAAGTGAAATAATTTGCATTATATTTTGAAAAGTTTTCGCATCATTTTTCGCAAGTTTACTTCTTCATTTTCTTACATTGCTGGTTAAGCTTGTTCCGTAACAGCATTACATTGCTGGTTAAGCTTGTTCCGTAACTATATAGCCAAGGCGTTTCCAAACTCCCCAATCTGATGCTATACTTGAAAGCAGCAGAAACTATTGTCTCTTCCACGGTCTAAGCCTGTATATCATGGAGTCGGCCACACTTTCGAAATCTCTTCTGACTATTTTAAGAAGTTGATTGGTTCTCCGAGCTTTTGGCATCATTACAGGGCTCAGCAAATAGCGTATGAGCCATTTGTGCGATGGCGAATGTAGCCTAACAAGATGAAGCTTTATGACGATATTATTAATGCATATGATATTCGAACGAAGGTGGATGCAGTATGTGAGATTATGTCAGGTTGGTAAAGCACGTAAAATATGCCTCAGGCATAAGTGGTCAGAAATAAGCATAGATTCGACTCTCACTAGTCATGTTTTGCGGCTATATAACGATTGCGATTATAAGATCGTATGTACAACTAGACAACCAGATAGACGAATTTTTTTTTAATGATTTCTTAGCTATTTCATAGAGCTTTCGCCAGGGGAAAGAATGAATTTTTAACTGCAGTTATCCGAGCTGCAATTTTGTCTTTCACATTTTTGGTATAAGAATTGTTATTTAAAATTTATCGCAATTATTTGAAAAAAATGAGTATTTTATCAGCATCTGATATGTGAGACAAAAAACGTCCTTTATACATCGTCTTATAATCATGATTTTGATGGAGCTGTCGATTGTCTAGCATTTCCTGCCTTCCTTCCCAACTGTAAAAAGGATCACGTCATTAGCTATTCAAGATCTATTAGTGTCCACAGTCGAATGTGTTACATAATCGAATGTGGTACGGGAGAAGAAGCAGCTCTGATGGATATCAGTTCTTATTTTAAAAGGTATCTCATTCTATCATTTCCTTATACAAACTAATGTTGATGGGAAGTGCCCTTATGAATCGAATGATTTTTTCTGAAACCATCATATTCAAGACTCTCCACAGCGCCATTTTATCAATTCAAACGAAATCAATGGCAAAATCTAGAGGATGGTGTCGATATTTAAAAGGATTTTCCAACACTCTCCTTGGGGTGAATATTTGATCAGCACACTTACTGTGCAATCTGAAACCATCTTGAATAGAATACATTTTACTGATTTATACCGCCATATGCCTATTCAGCAGAAAGGAAAATTTTCTCAGAGACGTTTAGTAGTCTAATTAATAGTTGTATATCCTATTATTGGGAGTTCTCCTAGAGAATTGGGAATTGGATTGCTATACTCCAGTATCTGGTATTCCATAGCAAAGAATATATATTCAATATATTCTTATATTCGATATATATTCAATGAAAGTGAAAGAAATTAGGCAAAATTCCAGCTTAAATTACTTTTCTGCTGAAGTTTTATTGTCCTTAAGCTTCTAAATGGCAATTATTTTCTGTTCTGTTGACTTGCACCTTGCAAATATATGGTTTGATGACCGTTTCCGGAATGAGATCATCTGTTTAAATTTAATCTGGAAAAATTCTTTCCATTGTACAATACGGTCTTTGAGAGTCGTAAAAGACACTCTTTATTTAAAATCATCTTAATTATTTTTCGACTTATGGCTGAAAGCGGAATAGTTTCCTATTATCCAGCCATTTTCATATTCAGGGTCAAATTATTCCAATAATTTCTGTTCTGCTTTTGACGAGATCTCTTGACATATATATTCTTTTTCGATAGTCAGATCATTTTCAGATACTTAATATAGTACATTTTTCAGTGGCATATACTAATATGAATTTACCCTTTTGGGTTTAGTATAGTCCTTTACTTATAGGCCAATGTTCATAACACATTAGAAATATATGTTTATCACCGAGGTATTCCCACAAGCGATATCCACGCAGTATTTGGACCGAGTATAGATGGTAATCGCCATTCTATGTCCATGAGCATTTTAACATCTCATGCTGCGGCTATGATGCCATCGTACGTAAGAACTTAACTCAAAGAAAATATTTTTCTCAAATATTTTTCATTTTCCTAAAAAGATTTTGAGCAGTTACCTTGGTTCAAGAACTCATTCTATTGTGGAAGCTCGATTGGCATTGGCATTACTTGTATATATTGGGCTAGGGATACTACCATGCGTTGGAGAACGTAAACGCGGTGTTAGTATAACCAGAACCTTTCACTGCAGCATCAATTGGAAATAGAAATGCATATGGGTCGCCATCCGGATTTAGATTTCATAATAGATTCATAACTTCGTAAAAGATATAGAAAAGCAGAAAATAAAAAAAAGGGAAAATAAGGAGAAATAACGAGAAATATTAAATATTCTTTAAAATTTTTTTTCACTTTCTTTTTTACTCTAAATTTAATTTTTAATTTAAAAGTCAAAAATTTAATTTAAAAATGGACAAAAAACAAAAAAGCAAATGGACAAACGTAAAAAATTAAAGAGGGAAATAACTGTTCCACATTCCACATAAATCAGATTTTCAAAGAATGATGAAAAAACGACTGTTCGCTGACAAAATTATTTTATAAAGCCAAAAGCCAATATTTTAAATAATTAATATTAAGAAATGTGCCATGATATGATAGACTTTTGATAGCGTGATATTAGATGGTTCTTAATTTGTACTTAAAAAGTGGGTGCTATTGCTTGGATTGAGATTAAGCTATGGATTCGTGCCCTACATCCTGACAAAAGCAAATCTGCCATTATAAATGAAGTCCGCTGAATTCACTTGTACATAGATCTCAGGCCAAAAACATCAAAATGTTCCGTGCATATACCGTGACTACACCCACTTTTTTCTAATGTTTTCTGATTTGACTAGTTTCACCTGACAGAGAGACACATAAAAATACAATCAGCGCCACTTGAGGAATAGTTATTTTAATATTTGGCTGAAATATTGGCAATATTGGTAATGCTAGTCCAATAACAAAAAAAAAACTTCAATATGACGATAAGAGCAATTTTAAAAAATTTATGCAAGAAAAAAATCGTTTTGGCAATAAAACTTTAAAAGCTATATCATTATGCTAATTTAATGTGTTTTATCATGAAAATTGGTCAGAATAAAAACTTTTGCATGCGATATCATTACACGTTGAATTTTGAAGAATATACTGTTATCACTATCAGTGATTTTTGATTTCTAAATGTTTGCAATTTTAATATTTACATTTCCATTCGTTCTTGCATCCGGCTAATCGTTATGAGTGTTTGCTTTAACATAGGCTATGCAGTCATGGAGGGACATGGTATTCCTAAATTTTTCCCATATTTATATGATTTCCATTATTAATGTAGTAGAACATTTAATGCAACATTTCGTTTCAGTAGCATAAAAAATATCATTTCATTGGTAATATTTAATATACGACTATTCAA